AAGATCGCTAATTTTAATTCGCTAAGTTCCTTATCATATTGGATCCGTCCTCCACCTTCAGACGCAAAATACAGCTTAAAAATACTCAAGACTTGGGGTTGAAGACCAATTCCAGAAAAGTCATCCGTCAGTGCCAGCATTGCTGCCGTGGCTGTTGTTTACGACCTCTACCTCAATCGTGCACGACTGAACAAAAAAAAACCTGAGAAGGCGTGGCTCCTCCTGCCTGCGTTAACTGCGACACGGCGAATTTAATTTATTTATTCCGTATCCCATACATCTACTTTGCAATTAACTTTTTTGTTCTATTAATCTATTATTTGCACGCATGTTTAGCTTCAATTTTTACAATTTGTATTAGTTTACTAAAACCTTTTGGAACTTTGGCAAGAGGCAGCCGACTGAATAGCAGCGCAGTGCGTTTGAACCACTGAAAATCAGTGTTGCAACAAAAGTGTGTTAGTAACATTACGGCGAGTGGCTCCTGTTGTAAGAGTAGGCCTACTTAATTTTTTTTGAAGCTTTCTATATTTTATATAATCTGTATAAATTTAGTTATTAAGTTAATCTTAGTTCTTATTTCTCATTTTTGTGAGCAACTTTTAAATAAATGATTTTTATCATTTTAGTTTAGCTTTTCGTGTCATAATATACAGAATTTTCTTTCTTTTTTTATGAACAAACAATCAATAACGCATTAAAAAAGTTTAAAACGTATGTGTAAACTGCTTTTGAAACATAAAGCGCAACAAGACTCGATAGCTCAGTTCGGAAGGTCAGTGTCGCTCGTCTTACATTTGTTTGAGATCTCTTCGAGATTATCACGTAAGAGGCACTTTTTAGATTAAAAATCGAAAGTAATTTGAAATATTTTCGACTCCGGCATCGTCAGCGTTGCTTTAACCAAGTCTTTCATTTTATTATCGATTTTCAATTTATAAAGTGCCATCATGTGAAAAATACTAGTTTTCATATTATATACGGCACTTATCTAAAAGCTGTATGTTATTGTTACTTGTGAGTACTTTTAGATAATAAGGAGTGAAAATACACAAAGACGACAATTCAATTGTTAAAAGTAAAAATTAATGTAATTTTTTTATTAAAAAAATATTAATTCTCGTTTCATGTACTTCATAGTACATGCATGTATATAACTCGTTGCGCGCGTAGTATGAGGTCGTAGTTGTGTATTTCCACATTTTCATTGTACAAAAATTTTATTCAAAAATATGGCTTTAACTTAATAACCATTAAGTTTCTCATTTGTTCTTGATCCTTATATTATAATTTAATATTAAATTTTCCACCCAATATCAATATTATATTTACACTAACTTATTTAGTCCTCTCACATGGAAACGTGTTAATGGATGAACCAAACTCGATACTAGCAAATCAATTAACTTCTAATAAAACCTCGTGAGCTGGTAAATCTTTTCTGCAGTTCCTGAATATGGATAGTCTTCTTCATCTATGTTCTTCGAAGAGGGACAGCTGCATAGGGGAATCTTTCACCTCCCACTGCCATCAGCAAGACTGGATGCACTGAAATTGACGATGACACGAATTAGAAGAATTATCTTTACATTTTGTTACAGAACATAGAATATACTAAATATATAGGAGATAAGTTCAGATCAGTGAAATCGTCCACGAAGCGATAACAAAATTAGTATTAGCACAGCATGTGAGAGAAGTGGAAGAACTTAGAACGAACGTGAAAAGCTTCTTAACCCTTAATTAGGCGCATTACAAAAATTACCCAATCAGGCGCATGGGGTCTTGAGTGGCCCCAAACAAATTTTGAGAATGGAGTGTTTTGTTCTTCTTCCAACATTATAATTGCTGCTAAGTTGGTCATTACAATCCACACCACACCACCTTTGGTACTATTGTAATAAGTAATTATTTCTGGTTTCTGAGCGCTGGCTGTTGAATCTTAAACTTCGCTTTCTGAATCGTGAGCCCTATCAATAGCAGCATCATACACCGTTTCGTCTTCCGAATCCGAACCAGCTACACCTTGCTCTTTATCGGACTGGGGGTCAGCGCTCTAGAGAGCAGCAATGCAGCAGCACGCGATTAATTTGCGTACCCCGCGAGAAGTGAGGAAGCTAAATAGAGCGTGAGCGCGCACTCTAATCACTGTAAACCATTTTTTTTTAATTTCAAGTGGCCTTGACCCCATGCGCCTAATTAAGAATTAAAAGTGCTCTGATCATAAGACCAACGTCTGTGACACAAACTCCCTACAAAACATCATTAAATGTGAGTACATACCTACCTATATATCAAGTTATGTAAGAGTATATTTGATTTAGCTTCATGTCAGCTTACTTATATTAATTATTTTATTCTTTATTTTAATTCCAGATAAATGATGAACTAGTTGTTACGAATGTTCTCTTCACAGCAGCTATCCATTTTTGTCTTTGCTGTAATGTCCACCACTTTGATGTTGGAAACGAATACAACTTGCACGAACTGTTTTTCGCAAATTTTTACGTTTTTACTTAAAATTATAGGGCAGTTATGAAAATAAAGCAATTTTACACTTGACAGCCCCGAATTAATTCACATTTCTGCCACATCGTGGCGCTTCGATCGATTAGCCGTCCCCCACCACCCACTTTGCACATAGCGAATAGCGTCGTGGACTCTTTTAATGCTCTCTATCTCTAACCAACATAAAAATATTTTTTTCAAATTCCCGAAATTAGCTTGTTTAAACAAACATACAAACTCTTCCGCTTTATTTTTCATGTGTATTCAGTAGGTCTGAGAATAGGACAACATCTATTTTTACATCCCCCTAAGTGATAAGGGTTGTTTAATTTTTTTTTTTTACGAAATTTTGAATTTCTATTTTTTTATGATACAACATACAACAATGCATACAGTCCTCAGTTTTCACCCTTCTGCAATCAACCCTTATTTTTTAATAGCTATTTTTTGAAATCATTTATATGGCAAAACAACGTTTGCCGGGTCAACTAGTATTAGTATAGATTTTGAATCAATTACTAACAAATTACGAAATGTTTCGTCAACACGCGTTTTTTTTAAGTCTTAGTAAAAAATGCGGTTCTGTTTAAAATAAGTTAATTTTATTTTATTTATTTAAAGTTAATTTATTTTCAAAAACTTGCATTTGATGTAGATTTGAATGTCACTTTGTTTATGCTTTAGTTTTCTATTTAAGCGTTTCGAATACATTCATATTCTACTTTCCATTATTGCAAACTTTAGAACCCGAGTACCTTCAGAACGGACAAGATGAAAGCTTGTGCTTCAGAAATGAAGACTAATATCCTACTGTAACACCAGCCATTGTAACCCTTTTCGACGTGTCAAGTGCTGCTAAAACATTGTAATTGCTGTAATGTGCCGGGCGAGGCTGGACAGCCCTAAGCTGTGCCACTAATGATAACCGTGTGATTGGTATGTTGCCATACCCATTTGGGTGTGAAATCCCGTTTCTCCCTCGTGGGGCATGGGGCGAACAGATTTCTGTATCCGTTTCACTGACCCGTTCTTTTAACGGGCAAGTAGTCGATCAAACTTCTGTAGCCTGCTTGACAGAAACAATTTTTTGTTTCCCTGGGATTCGAACCCAGGACCCACCTCTCGCGCTTAACGCAATGCTAGGCAATAAGTTTAACCATTTGCCTACAGACGCGGTCCCATTTAGTATAAGAATAATCGGAATAATTGTAAGAGCCGAACTGGTGGTGCACAGCAAGACACCGAGTGTAACATTGTTGTATTAAACTAATTAATAAGTGACCAAGTTTTTTTGCTGACCAACTGGCGCTGACCGACATGACCTATTTTCAGGTAATAGGAAAATTTTCTCCTTTGCAATTGTCCTGTCATTTTTACATGTTCCGGTTAGTACGACGTAATGCTATCGACATCTTGGAATATACGGATTCTATTGCTGATATTTTGACTCACCTTACCAGCCCGCCTCGTATCTTCACTGTTGAAGAGACCCCAGAGGTGCTCTTGTGGTCGCAGAGTTGGAACTAGGAGCCGAAGTGACGTGGAGACCGGCTGAAGTTCACGCTCTCAGCCTGTGGCAAAAGAGAAATAGTTATGAAAAAGGACAAAGTCCATTTCAGGCTAATTGGACTAAAGGTTAAAATTGTTTATTTAAAACTTTGCAGGTAACGGCATGACAAAACTGCAAGTCTACTCCACCCTCACCTGGATGCAGTCTACTGCGGTATTGCCTTATCCACCTTCGAAGACTTTGCGGTCGCGGCTTTTGTAAGATTCTGAAAAAGGGTTTAACATTTTGTTACACAATATTTAAATATGGTGAATAAAATATATAGCGTTTTAAACAGTTAAAGTGTTTTATTTAAATGGTGAATGTTTGTTGAACAACTATTTACTACATATTTAATAAGCATCTGTATCAGAGGTCCCTATTAAATGGCAGAAAGGCAGACTCACGATGGGAGAAGAGAAACTTGATTAAGTAAAAAGTGAGTGTATTACCTCTATATGGAGAAAACAGTTGTCCCTCATTTGCAGCAGCGGCTGCTGCACAGCAAGCAATGCCGCTTCGCACTTTTCTACTAGAACCATCACTTCTTTTTCTTAGCCCTAAATGAGTAAAAAGGATATTATGTATTGCTTAGACAATGAACCCATGATCCATAGATTATTAATGGTTCATTTTAAAAAAAAAAAAAATAATAATAATAATAATAATAAAAAACTGCTCTGGCATAATCATCAATAAGCCGAGAACAACATGTATATTTAAATATGTGAAAAATAATAAAGTGTTAATTAGTAATAGTAAACTAAGGATATTAGTTAAGTCATAGTTTAATCGTATTCAATATTTAGTTATGTTAGTTTTTAGGTTCAGTGTCGAATTGGGCTCCCACCTGTCATGACATGAGTTTTATTGATTAATTAATAAATGTTTAGTTTGGATATTCATATTAAGAAAGTTATAAAAGGTTAATAAATCAAAATAAAGTGCAGGTATTTAACTAATAAACCACTAATGGAGGCAGGACTTGATCAGGCTTTAATTGTTCTAAATTCCCTATACAAGTTTATTCAAAGTAGAAGTAACATTCCCTGTGAGTGTCGAGGCTTCTAAGAAAAATATGTTGTAATCAAACAGTTGATGCTGACAATAATGTTTATGACCTAGGCAAATTGATAAATCAACAACCTTCACTTGAAAAACTGGGCAGTTATGTGTACTGATTACCCAGCATTCTTTAGCACACCTATTAGAAAATTATATGAAGAGACTCCTATTAGAAAAGCCTGTGAGGAGACTACTATTACCGTCTGTAAGGACTGAAACAAATCTAAGTAAGTAAACTATGAAATACTGACAGAGTATACTTCTATCATGCAAATATAATTTAAATATCACAAGCATAGCGGTACCCAGAAGATACCACCACTTACGTTACATCTAGGTGGATGGTAAGTGTTCTGCATTAAAACTGTTGTTGTAGCTTTGACAAAACTTGACATCGCCCGTCGCCGAAGCGTGTATTAACAGTAGTTTATACGCAGTTTTTATTTATTTTAAAGTCTTATTACCAATATTAAGGTGGAACTAGATAAGAAAACTCGTATTAGAAAATGTACTTGGAAATAAATGTGACACTTTAATCAAATTAGTTGTACCGTTAACTGAGGTTATGCCGAATGCCGATAGCGTCCTTCTTTTACGGAGATGATATGGCGTTACATTGCATTTCTAGACTTTAGTAACGACTATGTTATAAATACAAAATGTGTAATACTACTCTAATGAGACTACTTCACATGAAATTATAAAAAATGCACTTACATGACAAAGGGCGCCGGTGAAACCACGTGCCTTTGAAGCCGCCGAATTTAGTTATTCTTATAAAAACCGAATAATATTCCATAATTATTACGTACACGTGATTCTTAAAATGCGTTTTCCAACATGAATCAAGCAAAATTACAAAAATATGCAAATAATGTAAATGTGATGTTCGCGCGGCAAGCGCAGGATCGGAAAAGATATATGCAAAATGGCTTCTTACAGACGTTAGAAATTTAGAACCAAGCAACGAAACCGCCTTTATAGGCTTGCCAACAGTAAAATTTGTAATAATGTGACCATATTTTTTTTTAATTCGCTAATTTAGTAGATTTTGATACCAATAAAAATATAACTGAAAAGTTTAAATCAAACAAAAATTTATAAGTTAAAAAAAAGGAAAAATAATAAATAATGAGCTACGATTTTTATTTAATGATCGATTAATTTTTAAAATCATTACAAACAATTAATATTCCAAAATAAATGCACAACTTTCTTGCCAACATGTTGCAAATTACAATTAACAATGCTACCGTAATAAAATTAAAAAATCTGCTAATTTAGTAGAAATTGAGGCTAACAAAAAAATAGTGTAAAGACTAAATTAAATAAAAAAAATATTGTTTAAAAATAAAAATGCACAGTAATAAATAACAAGTGACGTTTTTCATTTATTGGTTTATTAATTTAAAATCTTAATAAACGCAAAATGTTATCTATGTTTATTCTCACAATGAAAACAGATCAATTTTATTGAATGTAGATTATAACATTCGACGGAAACATTAATTAATAATTTTACAATACTATAAAAATATGGAAGTAGAAAAGAACTACATACCATTAAAATATTAAACTCTGAGATATTTCTTCTAGGTAAACATTTTTGAGTGTAAGTTAAGGAATTTTATATTTATTTTTAACAGAGCCTAACTTACTACCTTCTACTTAATTTTAATATATTTTGTTCATTACATATATTAAATTATTTTTCCTACATATCACGTACCCAGTTTTTCATTAATTTATTATTGTAGGTGTATTTATGTCAAATTTGAATCGGGCTTTTGTTATTTTCGTTGGAAACTATCGTTGTCTGGTCTGTAGAAAACATGGATAATCTGTGAAACATATTAAGTGTTAATTTACACATACATAATCTTTATCTAATTTAAAAACAAAAGATACATACAATGTTCATTTGAACATTTGAAATGAATGTAAATGCGTAGATGGAAGGAATAAAAGATTTGAAAACTTTATTATTTTTCACATGAAGGCACTATATAATTTAAAATCACTGTATCACTATATAATTTAAGAGTGCAGCACGTGACGCTGATGGTGCCGGCTTAAGTCCTGCCCGAGGCGAAATTTTTTTCAATTTATTTTAGATTTTTAAAAGGATTAAAAGATAATTATGCAATAAAACGAGTTATTTTCGTCTGTTCGGTGCGGTGTATTGTCATTCCATTGTCCTTCCACTACGAGACTTGGTGCGCCGGAGTCGCTGGGCCGTAGAGAGCGGGAGCCTCGCTGCTCATGCTATGTGATCCCTTCTGACTGCCGAATCTTTTCTGGAAATCCTGGGTTCGACACCGGGGAAACAATAAATTGTTTCGATTGGGCAGACCACGTCGGGTTTAGAGCTACTTGCCTGTAAACTAAAAGCATTCGGTTGAACGGACACAGAAGTGTGTTCGTCCCATGCACTACAAGGGGAAACTATGTACACTATACTAGTTTATTATTGAACGTTGTTTTTAGCTGTAGTGTCATACAAATTTGATAATTTGCGACTAATAAGGTCATTAATATGGGAATTGTTCCCAAAAACCCAAAATTCAAAGCACTCGCAGTGCGAGTGGGAGAGCGAGTGATGTGACGTGAGAGTTTATTGTTGTATGCCCCGAGCCCCCTTAGGGTCAGGTCACACCAAGATGCGACATGGCTCGCAATTCTACATCAGTTGAACTATGATCAAAATTTTTATTTTGGTTATTAGCTAGGTTTTTGAAATACAGCTTGGTAAAAAAAAAAGGGTGAAGCCTAACAATTTACAATAGGAGAATAAAATAATACACAAAATTATTGTGAAGGTATATTTTAGTAACAAAAACAATTAACAAATAAATTATTTTTGGTTTATTCTTGGCATTATGGTATTCATTTGTCTTGTACATAACATTTCAACTTGTTTTAAATGACTACTCTGTGGAAAGAGTATGCCGTTCTGGTGCCTAAACACAAAGACCCTAACCTGGCCCGTCCGCAACGCCTCTGACCTCTGAGCGTTGGGGCCAATGACAGTCAGTGAACGAGGTGTTATTCGAGAAGTTGTACTTGCTATAATTAAAATAATTACGAGAAGTTTTAACACGCCCTACAAATTTTTCGGGGGGCATTGGTAGTTTGCCCTGGCAATATCGCGAAGAGTGACCGTAGTATTGGCGGCGGTGACGCTGCCGATCTACGTCGTGGGTTAAGGATCGCGCATTGATAGTTTTAAGAAAGTCTCCTGCTCCACAAGTACTTATATCGACTTGGTGCCTACTAGCGAAGTCTCTAACAAGGTCGGTCTGTCTGAAAAGTGCGTTAGCGTAGGTAATGCCAGTCAATGATCGCGGTTTTATTCTAGCTTTAGTACTGGCCATAATGTTTTTTTAGTGATTGGCGATTCGCGGCCCACCCATGCCCCCGGGGGCCATTGGTAGTTTTTAAAACCCCCCCCCAACCCCCCATTAGTGATTGGCGATTCGCGGCGTACCAATGCGCTCGGGGGCCATTGGTAGTTTTTTAAACCGACACGAAACAGGGGGAACAAAACCCCGGGGCCCAAAAGGGGGGGAAAAATTTTTTTGGCCCCCCCGGGGGGGGGGGGGGGGGCCCCCCCGAAAAACCCTGGGGGGGGGGGGGGTTGCCCCCCAAAAGGGGAGAGGGGGGGGGGGCCCGCCGGGGGGACAATTATTTTTGGCGCCCCCCCCCCCGCCGCGGCGGGGGGGGGTGGCCCCCCCCCGGGGGGGGGGGGGGGGGGGGGGGGGCCCCACCCCCCCCCGGGGGGGGCGGCCGCCCGCCGCCGCCGGCCGGCGGGGGCGCCCCCCCCCCCCCCCCCCCCCCCCCCCCCCCCCCCCCCCCCCCGCCCCCCCCCCCCCCCCCCCGGGGGGGGGGGGGGGGGGGGGGGGGGGGGGGGGGGGGGCCGCCCGCCCCCCCCCCCCCCCCCCCCCCCCCCCCGCCCGGGCGGGGGGGCCCCCCCCCCCCCCGGGCGGGGGGGGTGGTGGGGCCCCGGGGGGGGGGGGGGGGGGGGGGGGGGGGGGGGGGGTGGGGGGTGGTGTGGGGGGGGGGGGGGGGCCCCCCCCCCCCCCCCCCCCCCCCCCCCCCCCCCCCCCCCCCCCCCCCCCCCAGCGGACGTGACTATTAAGCGCTCTCGCCGTTGTCCCCTCGCGACAACTGGCCCCCCGCTATCGCCGCCCGCCGCCCGCGCCGCGTCGTGTTACCGCGCTCCCTCCGCGAGCCGGTCCGCGACCGTTACGGGTCGACGCATAGGTGCCACGCCCTATTGCGTAATTATTTAACGGTTTTCGCATTCCGTTCGCGAGTGTTTCTTAGTGTTTTTCAGTGAGTTTCACCGCTGCTGCTTGCTGTCCGCCGCTTGTCGCTCACCGTTCGCTGCCTGCCGGAAGCCGCTAAGCCGCCCACCGCTCGTCGGTAGCCGCTAAGCCGCTCGCCGCTACACGCCACCGCCGCTGCAGTCTGCGAGCGGGGGACGCACTACACTTCATTGCCAGCTGCTCCTTAAGTATCTTACAAGTATTTTACATTTATTATACACCGAACCCACGACCCCGTCCTCTCCGTGCTCAGCATGGAGAGGGACATTAAAATGTTAGGACTCGAGGACCGCCTAATCCTCGAAATCTTACGTAAGGATCATCCTGAGGTGTTCCTCAACATCAAAAATGAGGTCGCGACTCGCGCGGCCTCTACGTCCCTCTCGTCCCTCCCGTCGCACGCGGCTTCACCGTGCGTCGACGTAACCGTCCCAGAAACGGCGACACCTAGGTCGCCGAGTCCCCGGTCGCGTGCAGCCTCCGACGCCGCGACAATTCGGAACGCCGTCTGCGTTCCTCCATCTCCGCTCTCCGCCGAGCATTCGGACTCGCCAATGTCCGAGTGCATCTCTTCATCGTCTGATTCGGACGAGTCTTTCAAGACCGTAACCGGTAAGCGAAAGAAGAAGCGCTCCGCCCCTCAGGCCCCTCAGGCCTCTCCGCCCGCGAAGCGCACTCCAGCGCCCGTCGCGCCTCAACCCCTTATGTCGCTCGTTATCGAGCCCCCGTCCCCTTCGGTGGAGCCTCCGACTCCATCCGTCGCGCCCCAGCGGGGCCCCAAGTCCCCGCCTCCTGTCGTAATACACGACAAAACCATCTGGACCTCGCTGTCCGGCCAGATGGCACAGAGAAAAATAACTTTTACGCAGGCCCGCAACACTTCGCAGGGCATCAGCGTCAAGCCTTCCGCTCCGGCCGATTACAGGGCCCTCATTCGCCTCTTAGAAGAGCGCCAAGTCCCATACCATTCATTTGCAATGGATGAAGAGCGTCGCCTTAGGGCCGTAATTCGCGGTATCCCGGTGGAGATTGAAAACGACCATATTAAATCCGACCTCCTGGCTCAGGGCCTCCCTGTAGAGGAAATTCACCGCCTGTACAACAGGCACACGAAGGCACAATACCCCTTGGTATTGGTCATTCTCGCCCCCTCCCCCTCTTCTAAGAGTATTTTCAATATTAAAAGTTGTTGTTCTCTCACCGGGCTCACTGTCGAGTCACCCAAATCCCAGGACGTGGTGAGGCAATGTCACCGTTGCCAGCACTACGGGCACTCCTCCCGCTACTGCAAGGGGAAACCGAGGTGCGTGAAGTGCCTCGGAGACCACGGCACGGCCGATTGCACCCGGAGGCTTCCTTGCGAGACTCCGCCGGCTTGCGTCAACTGCGGAACCGAGGGACACACGGCGAATTATCGCGGGTGTCCCAAGGCCCCGAGGGGTGCGGGCCGGAGGCGTCCCGGAAATAAGGGGCCGCCGACCGTCGCCGCAGCGCCTCGCGCTACGCAACAACCCCGGGACTTATTCGTCCCTGCCCCGCTTCCTTCGACCAATGTATGGTCTAAAAAATCAACGACCGCGCCTTCAGCGCCTTCGCTACCGGCAGCGAATTCAGCGCCCTCAGCGCCACGTCCTAAAGCGCCCTCAGCGCTTCGCACTAAAGCGCCCTCAGCGCCAAACAACGTTCGCCCCGTGGCGCCCTCTGCGTCGAACGCGCCTCCCTCCGAGCTTTCCGAAAACGCGGCGCTATGTAGGGATTTCGCGCGTAATCTGGACTTAGATTCAATCAATGCGTTCGCCGCGGCCATCCGAGAGGCCGAAGGTAACTTTGACGCCCTCATGGGGCTTATAGTTAGGTTCGACTCCTTCGTGTCGGCCTTAAAAAACTACCATTGCCCTCCGAGCTCTGGTACGTCGCGTAAATTCTAAATAACGATTCGATATGGCTAGTACAACCTCTAGACACAAACCGCGATCACTAACTGTTGTTAGCTTTAACGCTAACGGACTTACCAAACAGACCGACCTTGTTAGGGACTTCGTCGCTAGGTACCAGGTCGATATACTTGCGGTGCAGGAATCTTTTCTCAAACCATCAGTGCGCGACCCTAAGATCGCTAATTTTAATCTAATTAGAAACGACCGCACAGGCCAACGCCTCGGCGGTACGTTAATCTACTATAAAAGGTCACTGCATTGCATGCCTATCGACCCTCCTCCGCTCACGAACATGGAGGCCTCCATCTGTCGTATCGCGATGACAGGACACCAGTCGCTAATTATTGCGTCGGTTTACCTCTCGCCAAATAAAACCGTACTCGAGAGCGATCTCAGAGCCCTGTTTGCCTTAGGGAACTCGGTCATTCTGGCCGGGGACCTCAACAGTAAACACTGGAGCTGGAATAGCTCTCGGAACAATCGCAACGGTATCATTCTAGATAGACTGACAGACACTTTAGGCTTCACTGTAGTCGCGCCCATCGCTCCCACACATTATAGTCCGCCGCCCGGCGCTCCGGATGTCTTAGACGTAGCAGTGCTACGAGACGTAGCGCTACAGCTACGACTCGTAGAAACTATACACGAATTAGACTCTGATCACCGACCCGTGCTCTTCAAGCTGGGTCCTCCTGTCGATTCCGAACCGGTAACGAAGACTTTTGTCGACTGGGGGAAGCTGCAAGCGGCTCTCAAGCCCATCAGCTCCCCTCAATTAGATAACATACCCGACAGACTGACGACCGCGAACGAAGCGTTAGGCGCGATCTCGGCCGTTACTGACCATATTCAATCTAAGATTGAATACTCCTCCAGACAGCGCGTCGTCGGTCCCGATCGACGATTTGCGTTGCCCCCGGAGGTGCGTAGGTTGATAACGGCTAAGAACCGTGCGACCCGCGCGTACGATAGATACCCCACAGAGGTAAACCGACGCAATCTCCGCGTACTTCAGAGACGCGTTAGAGATAGCATCCGTGAACTCAGAAGCGACAGATGGGATCGACATCTCGCCGAGCTCACGCCCTCCCACGTTGCGTACTGGCCCCTCGCGAGAACCCTCAAATCGGAGGGAACTTCTCAAACACTCCCTCCGTTAATTCGCGTTAACCAGCCACCTGCCTTCGACGACGCGGAAAAGGCAGAGTGTCTAGCCGAGAGTCTCGAGACTCAATGCTCGCCGAATACGAACCGCGTAGACGCCGCGTTCATACAAACAGTCGACGACGAAGTGTCGCTACGACTCAACTCGCCGCCCGCCGGCGACCCGCTCCCCGCGATTACGTTTGACGAGGTTAACACGACTATCAGGCGTCTTCACAATAAGAAGTCCCCCGGTCCCGATAAGATATCGAATAGGGCAATCAAACTTCTGCCCGATCAAATTATCGCCCTCCTGGTGGCGATCTTCAATTGTCTCATGACTAACTGCATCTTTCCAGATCAGTGGAAAGAGGCTGTAGTCATAGGTATTCATAAGCCGGGTAAACCCCGCAATCTCCCCAGTAGCTACCGACCCATTAGCCTTCTCAACTCGCTCGCTAAAATATACGAGCGACTTCTAAACTCACGCCTACGGGACATCTCAAACTCCCAGGCCCTCCTTCCGGACGAACAGTTCGGCTTCCGCAATGCCCACTCTTGTACCCATCAAGTGCACCGCCTCACGGAGCACATCCTTCACGGCTTCGGCCGTACGACTCGCGGTCTCGCGACAGGAGCGCTCTTCTTCGATGTGGCGAAGGCATTCGACAAAGTCTGGCATAACGGTCTGTTATACAAGCTATACCAGATCGGTGTGCCCGACAGAATGGTGCGAGTTATCCACTCATTCTTGTCGAATCGTTCCTTCCGCTTCCGCGTGGAGGGCGCCCTCTCCACCCCGAAACCCCTTCGCTCAGGCCTTCCGCAAGGATCCGTTCTCTCGCCGATCCTATTTTCGCTCTTTACAAGCGACATTCCTAAGACCGCCAAAGCCCACATCGCGCTTTTCGCCGACGATACGGCCATTTACACCACCGACTGCAAAACGCAGCGGATCGTCTCCACTCTCCAGACCGCGACCGACGCCCTAGGCGCATGGTTCCGGAAATGGAGAGTCGAGGTCAACCCCGATAAGAGTGCGGCAATCTACTTCACTCGTAGTCCCTTCACTACTGCCACTAAACCGTGCAGACGCCCCGCCAATGTCAAGCTTTACGGCGAAGACATTCCGTGGCAAAAATCCACAAAGTACCTAGGCGTCACGCTTGATAGTCAGTTAAACTTCCGAGCACATGTCCGTTCCGTTTCTCGCAAAGCCAACTACGTCACGAGTAGGCTATATCCGTTAATTTGCGCGCGTAGCAAACTGTCCCTCCGACATAAGGTTACGCTCTACAAAACTTGTATTCGTCCGATTCTCACCTACTCCAGCGTCGTGTTCGCTCACGCCGCCCCTAAAACACTCCACAGGCTCCAGGTGCTTCAGAACCGGTTCACCCGAACCGCTACTGGAGCCATCTGGTGCGTGCGGAATGCTAATCTTCACGCCGACCTCGAATTACCGACCCTCAGTCGGTACTTCAAGGAATCGTCCGAACGGTTCTTTAAAAAAGCCGCGTCGCATCCGAACCCACTGGTGGCCCGAGCCGCCAACTACACCGTTCCCGTCAATACACGCTGGAGAAGGCCGCGTAATGTTCTTACCGACCCCGACGACGATCTAACGAAAGCCGTCGATCTCCTTACCGCTTTGCGTTCGGCCGACACCGGCGCCGTTCGCCCGCAAAACCGCCTACGCCGGCGTAGGCGAGGTCACTCGCTACGCGTACCGCTCACCCGGGTGAGCTTCCGTCCAGCTCTTCAAGCTCCCACCCTCATTGCGGCGGTCCAAGCCGAGGCCGATGCCCCCCCCGGGGCACCCTTGGTCTAGTCGCAAACACGGCGAGCGCTAACGCGCTCGCCCAAAACGTCCGGTTAGTATTTGTGGCTCCATAGGAACACAATACGTAATAATCAATTCAAAAAAGAATGAAACTGAAATGAAAAGTGTGAGAAGAACCGCCCGCAGGCACTTCAGGCTTCACCTCCAGCAAAGCCACCCACCGCCGGCACGTCTGAGAGAAGTTCCTACTTCTAGTAGATTCACGACATGGCCTCATTGACCTAACACTACAAATGGGACAGCTCGGCATAGCCTCTCTGCGCGTCCTAACTACCGTCCAGGGTATCTGTGGAAACCCTCACCCTGTCCGCCTTTAGGGCTTTCATCCACCTTCTGAACCACCCTTACATTCTTACACCACCACCGAAGAGCAAGAATTGCATCGAGGCCGCCGTGCATAAGAACTGCCGTGTTTACAATAGGCACACTAAGGCCCAATATACCCTGGTCTTGGTCATCAACCAATTTTCTCTCAGGACCCACTATTTAGACTCCTAAGTCCCACAACGTAGTCCTACAAGCTCGACCTTGACGCGATTAATGGCCCACTGGGAGGCCGAAATCAACTTAGACGCCATTACAGGGTTACTGTCGAACTTCATAAACGACCAAACCACCTCCCCCCCCCCACCCCAAGGGGCTTATGGCACGAGATAAACGCCGCGCAAATAATCTATGGCCAGTACAGTCGATATGCTTTTGGTGCAGAAGTGAAGGTGGGCATAAAAAGTATAAAACTAATGCGGAATCTGCTTTTGAAAAGTATAACATTTTAGTGCACTGGATACCTCGGCTCTGAAGGTGCCAGAATAGCTCGTCATCTACTATACTTTTAATCTAAATTTAGTTGGCGTGGCAATATACCAGACAGGCCAAATTCCAGACAAATACAACTCTCGTATGTGTTTACAGTATGAAATTGTTCTAATATATTTTTTCACTTTATTTTACAGACATTATATTATTACTATTATACATTTAAAAAAATGCTCTTTACACAAACTTTATCGCTGACAAATTATATGAATAAACCTCTCGTTTAAGGTTCCTGAAGATAATCTTTATCTCCATCCTTTGAAGACACTGACGGCTGCAGAGCGATTTTCTTTCACCTCACACTGCCAACAGCAACGAGCTCTTTCGATTTCCCGGACGAGAACTGTAATTAAGATATGTGAATAAAGTAGAATTTTGATTAATAAACAAACTACGAAATGTTTTAACTAACGGCAAATTCAAATTTTTGCAATTGAAATTACGACTTGCACAAGGCCTGTCATTTTTTAGTCCAGTTAGCTGTTAGACTGACATAATGTTATCGGTATCTTGCATTATATACACAAATTTATTATATACATTGCTTATATACACAAATTCTACTGTAATATTTTGTCTTACTCTGAGAAGCACGTGCTAACAGTGAGGTCTGCCCACCTCGTGTCCTCGCTGTTGAAGAGCTACACTCCGGAGGCGCTCTTGTGATCGCGGACTTGGACTCTCTGACCGTCCACGTTTATTCTTGCCCTATAGCAGTGGGTAAAAGCGATTTAAGAACAAATAGACCAGGCGAAATACTTAGATTTTGTGAAATATAATTTAAATATGAATGTTCTGTTCCATACAAAATCAAACAAATAATTCTAATAAGTTTTTATATATCACCAAGAAAACACAGAAAACAAAGACATTTAAATTATTTGATTGTATAGACCTGTATATATAGACAACAGCTGTGTTGCCGTCCACTTGCCAGCTGCAGCAGTTGCTGCTTTGCACTTTTCCACCATCTGTTGCACCATTCTTATTCTTAGCCTTTAAATAGATGAAAAGAATATTGTTATAATAAAAACTTATGTTTATATTTTAGAAACATTTTCGACATGTTGGAAATCAACCACATACATTGATAATTAACCATATAATGTTACTATTTAACCAACAAACCTATATCAAGTGTACTTCATAATAAATAGATGAGAGAAAAGAAATCCAATAAGATGTAAAAAAGTACCCACTGCTCTGTTTGCTCCAACATAATTACCATTGTTGAGCCCTATCTTGGCTGACTTGAGTATCTCCAGAGTTGCATCCGTCTAATAGGATGATCCTTCTTATTTGGTTCGACTGTGAACAACACCTTTACTTAAGTACATTTTATTTACATACACACATGAAAGTTAATTGTAGCTCAGTTTCTTACGAAAACTGATGCAAACTTGACGAGTTGTTACTCAAACAAATATTTAAAATTTCTTACATTACTCATATTACATTGGAAATATAAGTAGATATTCCCCTTTTGTGTACAAGTGTATTGGGCTCTAAGAAAAAACTGTATTTCAAAATCTTTACAGTGTTTAGAAGATAAAATAGCTATCCGATAACCTAACAACCGTCAAAAAGAAATCTCAGATGTAACTTGAGCTGATTACCCGGCATTCTAACAAACAATTCTAATAAACAAACATAACCCAGAAGGGAATGATGGAGGCAGATGCCACACTATGTGATGGGTCTGACTTCCTCCCAGTATACAAAACATCAATTTTATCTACCTTGTCTACGTCATGTTTATTCATTCTACCTATTGTTGCCTCAAGTATGCAAAATAAAAACTGGATTAATTTGCCTGAAATCAATGCTTGTGTCGCAAGGACTTTACCAGACAATGTTGTCGGAGTTAATTCGCCAAGACCGATATCTTAAGTTATACTTTCAGTTGAAGCTTTTTGTTTAATTATTGCAATTTTAAAGTTTAAATTACTAATGCTATGTATAAAACTGATGATAGAAAGTGTACTTTAAATTGTGACAATTGGATTTAGTCGATCGTAAAAAGGGTTAAGGCTTATTTTAAAATCTGTACGTCTGAACACGCAAACAAAAATGACGAAAACTGTATCTTCTCTTGGTTTTACGTCATATAATTCATTACTTTAGTAGATACCGACTGAATACTGTCTGTAGTTTACGCGAGTAGTGCACATTTAAATAAAACACTTTAACGGTTTAAAACAGAGACTAACCGTAAATAAATAGTCTCCCCGTGACCACGGCTGCTGCAAAGCATTCGAAACGTCGGGCCGAAGTTAAAAAAATATTTTCAAAAAATTTTAACTAATATATCGCGTTTTAAACCGTAAAGTGTTTTATTTAAAAAAAAGGTACCGACTGTGTAATAATTACTCAATGGTAAAAACTCCTCTTTTAAGTCGACTTCATAAAATTTAAATCAAATGGCTTCGAAAGAATCGAAATTAGCACTTACATGACAAAGGGCGTCGGCAAAACCACGTGGATTTGAAATAATATTTTAACCAAGAAAACCGAAAAATATTACTTAATTAATCAGTATATATGATAGTTAAAATGCACTCTGATAGCCCAAAGAAGCAAAATTCTTGAAAATAAATTAAAACAAATATTTAGGATGTTCACACGGCAAGCGCAGGATCAGAAAAATGACAAATAATTATATTCAGTGTTACCAATATTTTATCTTTCAGGTTTCCCGACGAACTTCAGGCTTGCCAACATGTTATACATTACAATTTTATAACAATGTGACCATAAAAAAAAATTAAATACGCCAATTTAGGAGACTAATCCCAAAAAAATAAAAATATAAACAAAAAAACAAAGAAAAAATGCATCTAAAAAGAGACTGTATAAAGAGACACGCTTCTTATTAATCATAGGAAATAATAAGCAATATTAATATTTATTTTTATAACAATTGTTTTAAAACCAAAGAAGAATGGTTCTTTTGTGACGAATTGTTTCGATCTGTCTAATCAATACAATATGACATTATGCTTTGAGTAGAAATAAATGTATTGTCATAGAAACACCTACATTTGTAAATTAAGAATATAAGATCCAAATACGGCAGAGGGTATACGGTACATCACATACAAGCAAAATTTAACGGCACAATGAAACGTCCTGCACCTTCCTCATTGGTTCAGTGCTTAATTCCTTCGATTGCAATTTGCAGATCATGAGTTGAATTGGGGTCAGCGGAATGTTAGTTAGTTATTTCTAAGAATTATCTTATAACTAGCCTGGATTTTATAAAATATATAATTTGATGACTGTACCGGCGCGACGTGATGTATTTAAGTTATTATACGTTAATTATAAAACAGGAGTTCTGTGCCTAGCATAGCCTATTGATTGTTTAAAAAAACGGATAACATTTTCTTAATCTTCACCTTCCAGTGATCCATTTTTTGGGTTTGGGCAAGCTTAATAGAAGGAGGCTGCAATTTATTTTTTAACGGTTACAAAATATATATTAAAATAACCGAAAACATGCGGTCGAGCTAAATTACGCGCTTCCTATCGCGGTAGAATACACATACAAACAGATACTTAATTAATGAATATATATAATACATAAAAAGCACTCTGGTACACAAAGCAAACAAAACTAGAAAATAAATTGAAACTAGTATTAACGATGTTCACAAGGAAAGCGCAGGATTAGAAAAAATTGGCAAAGTAATATTCAGTGTTGCTGTTGCCAATAATGTATCTTTCAGGTTTCCCAACGAACTTCAGGCGTGCAACTTTATAACAATATGACCATATAAAAATTTTAAATACGCTCATTTACGAGACTAATCCCATAAAAATAAAAAAAAAAACAAAGAAAAAATTCATCTAATAAGAGAATGTACGAAGAGACACGCTTCTTAGTCTTCTTAAACAATAAGCAATATTTTTTTTTAACAATTGGTTTAAAACCAAGGAAACTTAGTTCTAATTCCGGGAAAACGATGAATTATTTCCATCGGGAACGGTAATAGTCTAATCAATACGTGCACTTTAATAGCTTTCGGTAGAAATTAATGTATTCTCATAGAAACACCTCAATGGTAAAGTAAGAATTTAAGAACCAAATACCGCACAGGGTAGAATACCTATTAATAGTTTGAAAAGGCGGATAACTTTTTTTAATCTTCACCATTCAGTGATCTCCATTATTTATTTAATTTGATTTTTTTGAATACTCTATTTATAAACTTTGTCAATATTTTTTAATTATGGTTAAATCTCTTAATTTAGCGGATTAAAAATATTATTATGGTCACATTGTTACCAAATTATAATTTTTAAAATGTTGGCAAGCCCGAAGACGCAATTGTTTTCGTCCAAAAATCTTAACTATTTCTATGATTTCCTTTGTGAATCTGCGCTTGGTTACTTGGTTGAATTATATATATAATATAACACATTAAAATAATCTTATTTAAACATCAAGTGAGAAATATTATTCAATTTCCATAATTATAGTTAAAACAGTAACTTTCAATGGGCTTGGTTTTACCGGCGGCCCTTGTCACGTGAGTGCATTTTTTTATTATTTTATGTTAGCTTTAAATTTATTGAAGTGAATGCCAAACCAATGTGTAACACATTCTCATTAAAGAACCCTCTTCACAATATTGTTTTGAAAGCCGTTGTAACATCTGTAAATGAAGCTACTTTATTGGCGTTGGGGATACTTCGGTATCGAGGTCTGCTACCCGCGTCTTCACCTGTAGATACACATTTTTATATCAACGTGTTTGCGTGGCTTTGGCTCCGCGTCGCTTTGCGGTAATAAATGAAATAAAACCTATTTCTAATCGGAATCCAATGAGCCTTGATTTTCTAGCAATGAATCATTATAATTGAACTGAAATTGTCTATCACAACCTTTTCTTCGAAGAGTCATGTAGCAAATATGCATGTAACCTAATAAAGAATTAAAACTATACCCAAGTCTGCAAATATAGTCTTGGCACAGATACAGTAGAGTATTATCTAGACTAGTAAGACAAACATGGAAAAGAATGATAGTAGTCAATTAGAAGGTTCTAGATAGATCTCTTGTATGTTTTAAAGAAACTTATCGTTAGAATAAACATGTTAAATTTCTTACTCAGATTCCACCAGGGCATCTGCCTTTGCCTGTATCTCCAGGGTACACCTTTGCTTGATAGATACATTTACATTGTATTGCGGTTTATAGATATAGTTACAAACAGTATTATACAATATTTATTGAGGAGATGGATAATCTTAGAGATCCCCCCCCTTTGCTAGGAATGTTTGGTTATCCATGAGTTATTTTAAAATGTCCTATACTTGGACAGAAAGAGAGGAATATCTGCTTAAAGCATTTACAAAGGTATTGTGAATTAAATGGTAATTTGGAAAAAAAATTATCATCAAATGATCTAGTCCTGCCTTTTTGCTTTAAAATATTACTCGTATTCAATCTTTTATATGCTAATATAAATTAAAATATTTAAATATAGGTATTTATTGTTTGCAGCTGAACTGAATTACACATTCATTTACTTCATTAAGAAGTTGGATGCAGGTTTAGTGAAACTAAAGTCAAGACAGGGACGAGCTGATCCAACTCAAAAGGAAGTCCATAGCCATGTTGAATCAGTCCTACTTAGGAAGTTGTCGTGAGTACTTTTTATCTTATTGGAATCTTATGCTTCTTGTTAATTTTATTACATTAATAGTATTATTGGTTAGTTCATCAAATTATATATAATAAAAGTATTCTGAACTCCATTCTGAGAAATCTAATTTTGATTATTACAGATATAGAAATACTCCAACTCAAACCATGTATTTCACAAGACAAATATAACCAAATACCTTAAATATTGGCCTAATATCTACATTAAATAAGAAGGAATGAGAGCACTCTGCATGTGCTTCGCCCCCAAGAGTAGAGAAGCACCGGTTTTCAGAAGTCTTACTTTAGTTGAGCAAAATAGGCCACCGAACCACGACCTTATAAATAAATTAACAAAATATGGCTATTTAGACAAAAACTTTAACGGATTTAAACGCGAAATATTTTATTTAAACTTGTATGAAAATTATTCAAACTACCGCCCAATGTTTCCGATTCTAGGCAGCAGCCGTTGTCACGACTAAAAATGGAGGGTCTCTCTAATATCAAAATCCGTTCCGTTGTAGTTGGTATTTGGCGAAACTGTAAATTAGCGGATGTATTGCCGATGCGTGGAAAACTCTCGCCGTATCGGCAGTACATCCGCTACCAATGAAACACAGCATGGTAGAGACCGTTCAGCCTGTCACGACTCCAACAACGCAACAGGGGGCCGACAGCATCTGATCCCAACACGTGTACATTTATTTTTTTTTTGTTAAATAATCTCGCTTATTAATTAATATTATTGGTATTAGGACTAGAAAACCGCAACACTTCAATCCTTCCTTGGCCAGGACCGACTGTAACAAGCGCCTTTCATTTGCGATTCGACCGCTGGCTGTGTCGTAGTCAGCGCGCACCTTCGCGACACAAGCTGCCACTCGATGTGGCATCACCCCAAGGACCGAAGGCAAGCGACACACACACCTCCCGTTGACACAACTGTGCGGAAGAGGTTGAGTTAGTCTGCGTTCGGCGTCCGTACGAAGCGCACGTGCTGCGCTTTCATCCCTCCGCATAATACGGGATTATTCTTGTTTCAGTAAGCACTACAGCGGTGGTGGATGGTAAGTTATAGATGGTGGAGGCGTGGTAAAGAAAGCGCGGCTCAGAACAATGCCTCCGCTGCCAGAAGTTCCGCCATAGACCTTAAGCCTATGTGCGATGTGGCGAAGAACACGGTGAAGGCCCAAGACCAAGGGAGGCCCCGGTGACGTGCGCCAGTTGTAAACGAGCGCACCTGGCAAACCACACATCGTGCCCGGGATTCCGCAGAGAAGCGAGGCGCGTTGACGAGTTGATGTCGGTTGTAAATTTGTGAGGAGAATTAATAAGTTCGATAATACCATAAAGATAAAGCAGCAAGGTGCGGCGCGTGTACAGCTAGGTTAATTTTACAAGTGGACTTATTACTTTTTACACAGTTTATTGCATTATTAAATAGTAATATGCGCTTGCGCAGCGGGTGCCCTTAATTTCGAATCTCTCTTGTTGTTGTATTTTGTGTTAACTAAAATAAAGCTTTTATATGACAAACTTATTCGTTTTAACGATTCACATTGTATTGCATCAGGTGTATAAACATATTTTTTATTCATTGTACTGTGAGATGTGGTTGTGAATAACTTTATTTATAATCGATAATTTAAAATTCTGTTCAAAAAATAAATGCATTTTAAAGCGAAAGAGTTGTTTAATTTCTTACAATTTTTTTAACATCAGCCTGCACCAAATTAAACAAAGCAAAATGTGAATATTTTCGTGTTTTGAACCGCTGAGTAGTTTTCCGGCCTTGGTGCCGCTGGAAAGACGTCGTGGACGCATATATATATAATGGATAAAAGTGGTTATCTGTTGTTGTTGTTATACATTATATTAATATAAAGACTCATATTCAAGTTTATTTCATAGTAGAAACTTATTTTTTTTTAATATACATATTATACCAGATTTATACTTATGTGACAGAGCACGATTCGAATCGCGGGGAAAACTCTGTAAACACCTGATGACGTTAGATTAATATTAAATTAAATCTCATTCAAAGAAAGAATCGATGGTCAAAAAATTTACTAATTTGTTGATTACATTTGGTGTTTCCAATCTTCGTTATCATGCATGCACGAGCTTTTGGAAAATAGAACATATAACGCCATCTAGCGTCCGACTGACAATGTAAACAACTAATACATACAACAAAGACAAAAGCGCCACCTAGTGATCGCGTTGATCCATTGAATACTTTTAAATCATTATCGTCAGGGTTCTTAAATATCATATTGTCCTCCTTTTTTATAATTTTAAGCGCCTTCCTTAAACATTTATTTAATTTTCAGGATGTTATTAGATATAATTAGGGAATGGAATGGTCAGTAAATGTGGACTGAACACCCGGCCTTCTTATTGACACCGATGTGTCTCCAAAAGAAATGAACTCTATATAATAAATATTAATAATTCTTCATTCAGGTACAAACCCACATCTTACAAATATGTCATATAAAAAATGAGAAAAATAAGGGCCATAGAAATACACCATTTGTTAAATTTTTAACTCGCTTGCATCATATTGCATAGCCTACAGCGAGATGACAGACAAACTGCGCAATGCAATATGTACATTAGGGGAAGGAAATAAAACAAAAAAATCGTTGCCATGGTATATTTCACAAACAAACACAATAAAATTACTTCTAGTGTCGGAAAGCATTGGGATTACATCATACATATCAGAATTATAAAAATAGTCAACAATTATGCAAATAACAAATCGCTATTTTTAATCTGAATTAATTCTTGTATTTACTTTTTATTAACACTATAGGGTGTGTTCGTTTGATTAGACGTCAACTAGACGACCGACACTGGTCTTCGAGCTTCGTCGTTGATCAAGAAGGAAAACTTCGGCGATCTTACAAAGTATTCTATAATTGCCTGCACATTGCATAGACGTAGGCAATTGCTAAAGAAGAGAGCTGTCGATATTCCTGTCTTACTCGCACATGCATATTCAAATGAGGAAATAGTCGGGTGATAACGTATATATAATATATTAATGTTTTGATGAAAAAAAATTGTTATACTTTTGTTTATTTGTACGGTTTCTATCGAAATGTCAAGCGTGGAACGTCGCCACGTGCCTACTTCCAGAAACAACATAAGCTGTGAGTGGTGTCCCTCTACATATATATTTTTTTTAATTCATGTGGAAACTCCGCAGCGACAGTGCCCAGCACCGATAATTAATGGGACTCTTCGATTCTTTTACTGTTTTTTTATATTTGGAGTTGACGTATTGAACCCAGGGCTACAAATACTAACCGTACGTTGGGGCGAGTGTTTGCAGCTAGACCAAGAGTGTCCCGAAGGGGGCATCGACCACGGCTTAGGCCGCCGCCGCCGCAATGCGGGTGGGAGTTTGAAGAGCTGGACGGAAGACCGCATTCCTGCGACAACTACTAACGTCGCGCTGTTTGACGAGGCGTTGCTCCAGCCGGGGCAGAAATGCAGAATACGCAAGTGATTGAAATACCAAGCACGCTGTTTGGCATTTCCCAAACGTGCAATTGTTGAGTTGGTCGTTGACGAGTTTGGGTTCGACTACCAGCCCGTCGGAATGGACCTCGCCATTTGCAAGGCCGCCCAATTGCAACAGTTGCTGGCCGCATAGGACATCGACGTCGCCCTCATCAACGAGACCCTACTCGCGGTTGGCTTGAAATGCCACATTGCAGGGTACTTCATGTATCGCCAAGACCACACAACTCCAAGCGGCCGTGTTTATTCATGGTTCTCCTACTCCCTCCCCTCAGAGCGAGATCTCAAGGTGGCGATAAGGGGGATCCCAGCCGACACCAACCCCCAAGACATCATGGACGAACTCAAAGGCCTGGGGTTCGACCCCATACACGCACAGCCGATTCAGACATCAGGAGGGCGTCCTGGATGCCTATTCCTCGTATTACTAAAAAGGACGCCCGATATCACTCCGGCCATCTATGAAGTGAAAGAACTGCTGTGCATGCCCGGAGTCACAGTGGAGGCGTGGAGAGGGAAGCGCGGTCCGGCTCAATGCCACCGTTGCCAAAAATTCCGCCACTCCTCCCATCACTGCCATCGACCTCAGGCCTGCGTGCGGTGCGGCGAGGAGCACCGCGCAGCTGACTGCCCGCGCCCAAAGGAAGTCCCGGCGACGTGGGCCAACTGTAAGGGAGCGCACCCGGCAAACCACACATCGTGCCCGGTCTTTCGCGCCGAAGCGAAGAACAGGAAGGCGGGCACGGTGGCATCCACGGCCGCTACCAAAAGGAAAGACGCCTCGGGTATCGAACCTGTACCCGCACAGAAGAAGCCGCCGACGCATAGAGCGAGAAGGCCGAGAGCGGGACAGAAAAAGTCGCAAACGAGACAGAGCGACTCCGCCGCCCCCCCGCCTCCGCGGGCGAATCAGTCCGTCGCCGATCGTCCTATCTCCCTCACTCAAGCCGCGCTAGCCAGGATGGTGGAGGCAGCCGTCCAGACGGCGATCGCGGCTTTGCAGCCAACAGCGCCGAAGGCGGCCCCCAACCGAGGAGTATCCGGTCGCCATGGACCTTAGAATCCTCTTTTGGAATGCCAACGGCCTTAGGAGGAAGGTGGCGTTCTTAACAACGCAATTAAGGCTACATAACATCGACGTAGCCTTAATTAACGAAACCCACCTACGCACTGGCGACCGGTTAAACGTACCGGGTTACGTCGCATACAGGCAAGATCACGTCTCACCGCTGGGCGCGGCCTGGCCGTGCTCATCCGAAGGAGCATCGTTCACCGACGTATCCCGGACCAGGAGCTTACGTTCGTGCATGCGACGGGAATCGAACTGGAGTTCGATGGCCAGCCAATCGCAATGTACGCCGTCTACTCACCGCCGGATGGACACTTCAGCCCCAGCGATATCCGCAAACTGATGCCCCCGCAAACGGCGTGCATCGCAGCCGGCGATTGGAATGCCAAGCACGAATCCTGGAACCCCGCATGACGAACCGAAGAGGCCGCCTTCTATACGCCGATGCTGAACAGCACGGCTACACGATCGCGGCGCCGGACGTTCCTACCCATTATCCCGCTACCGATTCCTATAATCCCTCCACTATAGACCTACTGCTTCATTGTGGCATCCATTGCCATTTGACCCTTGATGTCATCATGGACGAGTACCTGTCGGATCACCTCCCAGTCATCAGTACGTTGACTTCCCCTAACCCCCGCCGCCCCGCTCCCCGAGAGAGACGTTGCATCGATTGGCCTCTCTTTCGCTCCCGCCTTTCCTCTCTCCCTCCGTTCGCGCCGCCAATCAACGCACTGGAAGTCGATCAGCTGGCCGCCGACATCACGGCGCACATACAACGAGCCATGGGGGAAGCTACTTCCGTCCGTGAGATTCCGCCGATGGAACCGGACATCCCGCCGCACTTGTTGAGGCTAATAAGGAGAAAGCGCGCACTTCGCCGTACGTGGCAGCGCAACCGATGCCCGCGCCTTAAAACCGAGATACGTCTGTTAGCAGAAAAGATAGGAACGGAGCTACAGGCGTATCAAGCGCAATCATGGGAGCGCCGCATTGGCGAAGCAACCACCGATTGGAGTAGCCTCAACAAGTTGTGCCGAAGCCTTACGAAGACCGTCGCCCCACCGCGGCCTCTCCTACACCCCAATGGCTCAGTAAAGTACGCCGCCCTGGATAGGGCCGAAATTTTCGCGGAGCATCTCGAACGCCAATTCTCACCGAACCCCGCCGCTCCACATCTGGAAGATCGCGTGAAGGCGACCGAGGAAGCCGCCTTAAGATTCGCGTCGCCCAGCATCCCTCCAGACGAGGACCCCATCTTTTTCTCGCTAAAAAAAGCGCTCGACTTCAGCGTGTCGGGGCCCGACTCACCGACACACTACCCCGACGGTCACGGAGCGCCCGACGTCATCGACTTCGCGATCCACAAAGGGATCACCGCCATGATGACGCAACAAGTGGTCGTCGACGAGCTGCTGTCCGACCACCTGCCAATCGTCATGGACCTCGTGGACGCCGCTCCTGCGCCTCCGGTAGCCCGCTTAGCGCGGAGAATAGACTGGCGCGCCTTCCAGCAGACGCTAAACGACGCGCCGCAGCATTGTGCGCCGAACTCCCCCGCCGCAGCATTGTGCGCCGAACTCCCCCGCCGCAGCATTGTGCGCCGAACTCCCCCGCCGCCGTGGACAAAGCGGCGGAATGCATCACCGCGCACTCGCCGACGCCACTACCGAGCGGCCCGCGCCGGCCGTCTATCCCGCTCTGCCGAACCGCTTGCTGGCGCTTATTCGCCGCAAGCGCTCCCTCCGCCGCCTGTGGCAGCAGTCGCGATGCCCGCGCCTGAAGGCGGACCTTCGCCGCCTAGCGGACAAAGTAAAGGCCGAACTAGAGGTCCACGCCGCCGACGCATCCCACTACCAACCCGGCGCGCGTCACCGAGGTGGAACGCCTAGTCGCCGAATACGTCGCCGCGCCCATCGCGCCGTCGGAGGGCGCAATCTATTTCTCGCCGGCGCTGGTGCGCAAGGCGACGTCAAGACTGAAACCGAAGAAGGCCCCCGGAGCAGACGGCATCACTAACGCCGCCCTTCGCCGCCTGCCGCCACGCACACTAGTGGCACTGACGCGCCTATTCAATGGCATCCTGCGGAGCTCACACTTCCCCGCGCCATGGAAGGAGGCGCGGGTGATAACGATTTTAATTAAATTTTGGCGTTCCGCAAGGCAGCGTGATCTCGCCCGCCCTGTACACGACGTGCCCGCAGCCCCAGGCACCACCGTTGCCCTGTACGACGACGACACGGCGTACCTGAAGTCATCGTTAAACGCCGGCCACGCCGCTCTGAAGCTGCAGCGGTCACTCAACCTCCTCCCCACCTGGCTAGAGGAAAGGCGGATGGCTGCGAACGCCGCCAAGACACAGGCCATCGTGTTCGGGGCGGGCAAGCTGCCGCCAGTTCTCCGCTTCCTCGATACGGACATCCCGTGGCGCCCGCAGGTTAAGTACCTGGGCGTCACGCTCGACCGCCGGCTGTCGCTGAGAAAGCACGCGATCGGCGCCGCAGGACGCGCCTCAGCCGCCACCGCCAAGCTGCGGCCACTCCTCGAGTCCCGATTGCCGACGCGTGCCAAGCTCGCGCTGTACCGGCAATACATCCGGCCCCACCTCACGTACGCGGCGCCCGCCTGGTACGGCCTCACGTCCGAATCTTCCCGGCAACGCCTGAGAGCCGTACAGAATAAATCACTCCGACGCATCATCGACGCGCCGCGCTACGCGCTAACCCACCTCACCTCAACCGAAAGTCCAGAAAGCCGCCGCAGAGAGGTACCCGCCACTGATAGTCGAGGTACTTCCGAACTGGGTGGCCCACTTCCGTCTACTGAAAGAACGCCTTGGCCGTGCACCAAACGCACGACCCTTCGGAAGGGGGGTCCGCTTCACCCCGCAGGATGGCGATGAATATCGCACCATCCAGAAATACCTGACGGAGCTGGAGCGGACAAACGGAGTGTCCTGGTTTCTTCTATTCGCTCCCGTCCGAACGAGATCTCAAAGTGGCCATTCGAGGGATCCCAGTGGACACAGACCCCGAGGAAATATTGAAGGAGTTGCGAGGATTGGGTTTCTCGCCCGAACATGCCCAACCTATACGGGCTACCCAAGGGCGACCCGGCTGCCTGTTCCTCGTGATCCTTAAGAGGACACCTGAGCTCACCCCGGCAATCTACAACATCAAGGAGCTCCTCTGCATGCCAGGGGTAACGGTGGAGGCGTGGCGAGGGAAGAGCGGACCATCGCAATGCCGCAGATGCCAAAAATTCCGCCACTCCTCCCACCATTGCCACCGTCCACAAGCCTGCGTACGATGCGGCGATGAACACCGTGCGACAGACTGCCCTCGACCAAGAGAAGAACCGGCGACCTGCGCGAACTGTAAGGGCGCGCATCCCGCCAACCACACTTCGTGTCCCGTATTTCGCGCAGAGGCCAAAAATAAGAAAGCGGGCACTGTCACCAAAAACAAGGACGCCCCAGGAATCGAATCCCGTCCCCAGCGGCGGAGAGCGAGAGCGACAAACAACAGAAGAGGAGGTCAGAGAGCGGAGAGAGCGAGACAGAGCGATATCGCCGTTCGCTCCGACCCTCCCGCTCCCCCGCCGCAGCTCGCTCAAACTTCGTCGGCCCGCGCAGCGCGGCCTGCCATGCAGAATGCAAGGAGAGCGGTCCAGTCCGCTGCCGAGCGACCGATTACTTTCTCCCAAGCTGCACTAGCCAGGATGGTGGAGGCGGCCGTCCAGACAGCTATAGCAGCCAGCAGGTGCGCTTTCCGCTTCGAAGGCGTCGAGGAGTCCCGGGTCAGAATGTCTCTTAGGATCCTCTTCTGGAACGCGAATGGCCTGAAGCGGAAGGCCGCGTACATGAAATTACTGCTAAGACTACATAACATAGATATAGCTATATTGAATGAAACGCACCTGCGCCCAGAAAATAAATTTAACGTTCCGGGATACACATTACACCGGCAGAATCATATCTCACCAAAGGGCGCGGCCTATCGCGACCTAGCCGTGCTCATCAGGAGGAGCATCATCCATCGACGTCTCCCGGACCTCTCGTTCGTGCATGCGCTAGGAGTCGAACTGGTGTTTGACGGCCAACCGGTCGCAATGCACGCCGTCTACGCACCGCCGGACGGAACCTTCAACACCCAAGATCTCCGCAAATTGTTGCCCCCGCACGCGGCGTGCATCGCAGCAGGCGACTGGAACGCCAAACATGAAGTATGGAATCCCGCATGCACGAACAACCGAGGCCGTGCACTACTCGCCGACGCAGAACAGCGCGGCTACACAATTGCGGCACCGGACGTTCCCACCCACTATCCCGCAAATGATTCCCACAACCCCTCAACCATCGACCTTCTCCTCCATCGTGGCATCTCCTGTATCCTATCCCTTGATGTCATCATGGACGAACACATGTCCGATCATCTCCCTGTCATCAGTACGTTGACTCCCTCTAACCCCCCGCCTCCCCGCCCCCCCGCGAGACGTAGCATAGACTGGCATCTCTTTCGCACGATCCTCGCCTCCCTCCCTCCCTGGATAGGGCCGAAATCTTCGCGGAGCACCTCGAACGCCAATTCCCACCGAACCCCGCCGCTTCACATCTTTAGGATAGCATGAAGGCGACCGAGGACGCCGCCTTGAGATTCGCGTCGCCAAGCATCCCTCCAGACGAGGACCCCATCGCTTCCTCGCCGTGTCAGGTGAGATTACTGCGACACCCCTCCCATCCGCCCTCCAGGACTCAGTAGAGTCCCACTTCCTCGCGCTTTCGCAGGGCTCGCCGGAGACCCTGGACGCGATGTTTCGGTCCCTGGCTGGGGACGTCCCACCTGCGCCGCGGGGTTCCCCGAGGGCGCTTCTTTATTCCGATGCGATTGCTTATGCAATCGTTAGGAAGCAAGTAGCGTTCTCGGATGGCCTACACGCGGCGGTCCGGGCGTACCTTGACAGGGTTGAGGCAGAGCTTAGGGCCGAAGGCCTGCTCAGCACTCCTTTGACGCAGGACGAGTGGGCTGTTGCTCAATGCAACATTGCACGGTCGACCCCCCTGCGTCGCCGCCGCCCGGAATCCCCCTCCTCTCCTGACCGTGACTCCAAGAGGCCGTGTCAGGACTCTGCCTTCCCGTCCCTCCCGGATCCCCTCTCTCAGCGGGACCCTCGGTTGCGACGAAGACTCGCGCTCCCTGTACCAGAGCCCACCGCCTCTGCCGCGACCGCCGCGCGTGCCTCGCGAGACGCGCTTCCCGCGCGCACCACACTAGCCGCACCTGCCTCGCGCGATTTTTCCGCTGCGCCCACCCCGCGCGCCGCGTCTGCCTTGCGCGCCGCGGTCACTGCACCCGCCGCGACTGCCGCATGACGCAGACGAATACCGCACCATCCAGCGGTACCTCACCGATCTAAAGCGGACCAAAGGAGTAGCGTGGTTCTCCTACTCCCTCCCCTCAGAGCGAGACCTCAAGGTGGCGGTAAGGGGGATCCCAGCCGACACCAACCCTCAAGACCTAATGGACGAACTCAAGAGCCTGGGGTTCGATCCCATTCAAGCACAGCCGATACAAACATCGAGAGGCTGTCCTGGATGCCTATTCCTCGTGCTATTAAAAAGGACGCCCGATATCACACCGGCCATTTACGAGGTCAAAGAACTGCTGCGCATGCCCGGAGTCACAGTGGAGGCGTGGGCGAGGGAAACGCGGCCCGGCCCAGTGCCACCGCTGTCAAAAGTTCCGCCACTCCTCGCACCACTGTCATCGACCCCAGGCCTGCGTAAGGTGCGGCGAGGAGCACCGCGCAGCGGACTGTCCGCGCCCCAGGGAAGTCCCGGCGACGTGCGCCAACTGTAAGGGAGCGCACCCGGCGAACCACACATCGTGCCCGGTCTTTCGCGAGGAAGTTAAGAACAGAAAGGCGGGCACGGTGGCATCCACGGCCGCCACTAAGAGGAAGGACGCCCCGGGTATCGAACCCGCACAGAAACCACGCAAAGAGCAAAGAGCGAGAGGTCCGAGAGGGGGACGGAAAGTACCGCGAGCGAGACAGAGCGACACCGCCACCCCCCCGCTCCCGCGGGCGAAAGTCCGTCGTTGATCACCCTATCTCCCTCACACAAGCCGCACTAGCCAGGATGGTGGAGGCAGCCGCCCAGACGGTCATCGCGGCTTTGCAGCCATCAAAAGCGCCGACAGCACCGAAGGCGGCCCCCAGCCAAGGATTATCAGGTCACCTTAGAATCCTGTATTGGAACGCCAATGGACTCAGGGGAAAGGTGGCGTTCCTAACAACACAATTAAGGCTACACAATATAGACGTAGCCTTAATCAACGAAACCCATCTTCGTACCGGCGACCGGTTATACGTACCGGGATACGTCGCATACAGACAAGACCATGTCTCGCCGCTGGGCGCGGCCTATCGCGACCTAGCCGTGCTCATCAGGAGGAGCATCATCCATCGACGTATGCCGGACCAACCGTTAACGTTCGTGCATGCGACGGGAATCGAACTGGAGTTCGATGGCCAGCCAATCGCAATGTACGCAGTCTACTCACCGCCGGATGGACACTTCAGCCCCAGCGATATCCGCAAACTGATGCCCCCGCAAACGACGTGCATCGCAGCCGGCGATTGGAATGCCAAGCACGAGTCCTGGAACCCCGCATGCGCGAACCGAAGAGGCCGCCTTCTCTATGCTGATGCTGAACAGCACGGCTACACGATCGCGGCGCCGGACGTTCCTACCCATTATCCCGCTACCGATTCCTATAATCCCTCCACTACACACACACAAAAAACTAATTTTAAAAAAAAAAGAGAGAGGAAACAACAAACAAATAAAGAAATAAAAGAAAAGGAAAGAAACAGGAAGATTACAACTAAAGAAGAAACGAGTACGGAGCAAAGGAGGCTGAGTGGTCGCTATTCTAAAGGAAAGAGAGCCAGATCGCCGACGGCGAGGCGTCCTGTGCGTCAGCACAGCCCCACCGGTGGGGAGAATGTGCCTCAGGGACAGCGCAAGCGCATTTGTAGGGAGTCAAGAAAGTGCACCGGTTATACGCCATAAGCAGTCCCGGTGCATCTCCCGTAGTTTCAGTCGCGACCCGGTCCGTATGGCCGAGGTCGGTAGGACCATGGGAAGGAGGTGGGTTAATCCCTCCACTATTGACCTATTCCTTCATCGTGGCATCCATTGCCACCTGACCCTTGATGTCATCATGGACGAGTACCTGTCGGATCACCTCCCAGTCATCAGTACGTTGACTTCCCCTAACCCCCGCCTCCCCGCTCCCCGCGAGAGACGTTGCATCGATTGGCCTCTCTTTCGTTCACGCCGCCAAACAACGCACTAGAAGTCGATCAGCTGGCCGCCGACATCACTGGACATTTCCAACAACAAGATGTTTGCGAAGGCCGACGCATAGAGAGCGCACCATCTTCAGGTCCTCGCCCCCTGGCACACCAGGCCACCGGACAGGCGATATCCGCTACCGCGAGACCGCCCTTTCCCTCCCGACTCCCCGCCTCTCCCTGCAGCAGCAGCAGACGGCAACAGACAGTGAACACCACCGGATATGACTCGAACGCCGATCCCGCGTCTTCTCTGCGTCTGGTCGCCTCGCTGGGCCTCCCCCAGGGTTACCGGGGGTCTCACCCGGCGGTGCTTGATCGCGAGACGCGGGGGCGTTCCCAAACCACCGACTACGACTCCAGAGACCGCCCTGTATTTGCAAGGCGCGATAGACCTCCCCTTAGGGATCCCAAATGGGCTGATCAAGGAGGTCGCGACTTCATCGCGATCAGGACAACAGACGAGCCTCCTCGTCGTCGACCGATTGAATGAAGGCGACGCGTCGTCGAAGGCCGGTGTCTGGTTGACGCGAACTAACGGAGGGAGTGATTGGGTTGCCTCCGATTTGAGGACTCTCGCGAGGGGCCAGTACGCAACGTGAGAGGGCGTGAGCCCGGCGAGATGTCGATCCCATCTGTCGCTTCTGAGATCTCGAATACTATCTCTAACGCGTCTCTGAAGAACGCAGAGATTGCGTCGGTTTACCTCTGTGGGGTATCTATCGTACGCGCGGGTCGCACGGTTCTTAGCCGTTATCAACCTACGCACCTCCGGGGGCAACGCAAATCGTCGATCGGGACCGACGACGCGCTGTCTGGAGGAGTATTCAATCTTAGATTGAATATGGTCAGTAACGGCCGAGATCGCGCCTAACGCTTCGTTCGCGGTATGTTATCTAATTGAGGGGAGCTGATGGGCTTGAGAACCTCTTGCAGCTTCCCCCAGTCGGCAATAGTCTTCGTTATCGGGACGGAATCGATGGTAGGACCTAGCTTGAAGAGCACGGGTCGATGATCGGAGTCGAGTTCGTGTAGCGTTACAGGCGGCGGTAATAAAAAAGTAAGTAAAGACTACGGTAAATCCTAACGTGTTAGTCAGTCCGTCTAGTATGAAAGGGGTTCCCGACGGAGAAGAAAGACTACGCCGGATTGCTCTCGTACCCCTTTACACGATCTACACCGACGACGTACCCGCGGCGCCGGGCAGCATGTCAGACTCCTTTTTCCTTATCATATTGGATCCGTCCTCCACCTTCAGACATACAAGACAATACAGCCAACAAGACCAATTCCAGAAAAGTCATCCGTCAGTGCCAGCATTGCTGCCGTGGCTGTTGTTAACGACCTCTACCTCAATCGTGCGCGACTGAACAAAAAAAAATCCTGAGAAGGCTCCTCCTGCCTGCGTTAACTGCGAGACCGAGGGACACACCGCGAATTTAATTTATTTATTCCGTACCCATACATCTACTTTGCAATTAACTTTTTTGTTCTATTAATCTATTATTTGCACACACGTTTAGCTTCATTTTTTACAATTTGATTTAGTTTACTGAAACCTTTTGGAACTTTGACGAGAAGCAGCAGACTGAATAGCAGCGCAGTGCGATTGAACCACTGAAAATCAGTGTTGCAACAAAAGTGTGTTAGTAACATTATGCCGAGTGGCTCCTGTTGTAGGAGTAGGCCTAGTTAATTTTTTTTAAGCCTTCTATATTTTATATTATCTGTATAAATTTAGTTATTAAGTTAATCTTAGTTCTTATGTTTCATTTTTGTGAGCAACTTTTAAATAAATTATTTTCATTATTATTACCTTGTGCAGTATTTTAGTTTTATAACTAGAATTTTCTTTCCTTTTCTATGAACAATCAATAACGCATAAAAAAGTTTAAAACGTACGTGTAAACTGCTTTTGAAACATAAAGCGCAACAAGACTCGATAGCTCAGTTCGGAAGGTCAGTGTCGCTCGTCTTAATTTTTTTGAGATCTCTTCGAGATTATCACGTAAGAGATTTAAGAGGCACTTTTTAGATTAAAAATCGATAATAATTTGAAATATTTTCGACTCCGGCATCGTCAAGCGTTGCTTTAACTAAGTCTTTCATTTTATTATCGATTTTCAATCTATAAAGTGCCATCATGTGAAAAATATTAAAGTTTTCATATTATATACGGCACTTATCTAAAAGCTGTATGTTATTGTTACTTGTGAGTACTTTTAAATAATAAGGAGTGAAAATACACAAAGACGACAATTCAATTGTTAAAAGTAAAAATTTATGTATATTTTTTTAATTAAAAAAATATTATATCTCGTTTCATGTACTTCATAGTACACAAACACACATACATGTATACAATTTGTTCCGCGCGTAGTATGAGGTCGTAGATGTGTATTTCCACATTTTTATTGTACAAAAATTTAATTCAAAATTATGGCTCGCTATCAAGTTTTTCATTTCTTCTTGATCCTTCTTATATTAATTATTTAATATTAAATTTTCGACACAATATCAATATTCACACTAACTTATTCAGTTATTTAGTCCTCTCACATGGAAACGTGTTAATGGATGAACCAAACTCGATACTAGCAAATCAATTAACTTCTAATAAAACCTCGTGAGCTGGTAAATCTTTTCTGCAGTTCCTGAAGATGGATAGTCTTCTTCATCTATGTTCTTCGAAGAGGGACAGCTGCATAGGGGAATCTTTCACCTCCCGCTGCCATCAGCAAGACTGGATGCACTGAAATTGACGATGACACGAGTTAGAAGAATTGTCTTCACATTTTGTTACAGAACATCTAACCAACACAAAAATATGTTTTCAATTCCCGAAATTAGCTTGTTTAAACAAACATACAAACTCTTCAGGTTTATATCTAATATAAAAATTCTCGTAGCACAGTTTTCGTTGGCATACTCCGCCGGAACGGCTTGACCGATTTTGATGAAATTTTTGGTCAACATCTATTTTTCATCCCCCTAGAGGGGTAGACCACGCCTAATTCATTTTTTTTTACCCAAAATTTTTAATTTCTATACTAAGATTGTATGTATTTTTTTATGATACAACATACAAAAATATATACTGTTATATCTGTGTGGGACGTTGTAATAACACGCTAGACCGAGAGTGACTGACTTTATTACGAATGTTACAAATCTAACTACATAACACCTTCTTTCTTATTTAGAACTAAAAACTAAGAAAACTTAAACCTAACTCTAAATACTAATTAATTACATTATTAGTATATTACAAGTATTACATGTTTTTCATTTTATCTAAACAACGTAACGCCGCCTTTCTGGGTGATCAATGTGGCGTTTATGTACTTGACCATTATTGATTTAAACTTTTGTATGATACAAGGTTAATTCTTTGAGTGACAACTGCATCCGACCACTTAGGACCGCTCTTTAAATAGTTCCGCGACAAAACCGGCTCAGCCTCTTTGGCGACCCTTAATGGAGTCACCCGACGTTGCTCTTCCGTCAGCTGAGCCGAACGAACGCGTTCCGCCGTATCGGGTCTAAGAAGATCGAGACGCCCGCGCAAACGCCTACCTAACAAACTCACAGCGGGTTCGACCCCTGTAGTTGACTGTTCAGTACTCTATATGAAAACAAAAACCGTGTTAATGCGACATTTATATCAGTACGCTCTAATTGTGCTTTTTTGAGAACCTTTTTAATAGAACGAACAGCATTTTCAGCCGCTCCATTGCTGGAAGGATGATTAGGTGCAATTAGGGAATGTTTAATTCCATTATATTTCAAGTAATTAGCGAATTCAGTAGACGAAAAAGGAGGTCCGTTATCACTTACTAACCTCTTAGGCAACCCGAAACGAGCGAACCAGAGTCTTAAACAATTAAACACTAAACCAGCTGACGTCGTATTTAATTTTTCTACCTCTATCCACTTAGAATGAGCATCAATATCAAATAGTAAGTCATAGGCGTTATTAAAGGGACCTAAAAAATCCACATGAAGCCGCGACCACGGCTCGACGGGCCAAGGCCACGAGTGAACGGGCGGGCGCACGAGGCGCCGCATGCGTCTCTGTGCCCGCCATGCACTCTCGCGCGACATTTTCTATGTCGCTGTCTATGCCTTCCCCGCACACATAATTTCGCGCGATTTGCTTCATCTTAACTATGCCGGGATGCCCGTCGTGGATTTCTTGTAAAATTATTTCTCGTAACGATTGCGGAACAACAATTCTATATCTTTACGATTAAAGTAATTAACCTCTAAGGTATTTAATTCACTTTTAGTCGGCCAACCGAACCTAATGAACCCGAACATTTTACTTAATAAGGAATCATCGGCCGTTCCTTCCTTAATCTCTTTAAAACTGACTGGTAAATCTTGTACAAAATTTAAATAAGTACTATCTTTACCCCTCGAATCACTTTTACTAAATTTAAGCGGGAGACGCGAAAGTGTATCTGCAAAACAATTGTTTTTAGATGAAACAAATTCAATATCAAAGTTATAACCTGCCAACTTAGCAGCATTTTTCCGGAACTTATAAATATTGATGGTGCCTCGTCACCCCATAAACAATCGCTAAAGCCTCTTTATCCAATTGCGAATTAACTTCCGCTGAGTTTAATGTACGACTCGCCGCACACACGAGCCGTTCTACGCCGTCCGCGTCGAGCTGTGTCAACACTGCGCCCACGCCGTACGCGCTGCTGTCTACCGAGAGAATTAAAGTACACGTCGGATCATAATGAGCCAGAATAGGTGCACTACTTAATACTTTCTTAATTTTAAGAAAAGCCCGATCACAACTATCGGTCCAAACCCATGAAATATCTTTTTTTAATAGGTCATATAGGCTTCAATATATCGCTCATATTGATACAAAACTTTGAATAAAAATTAACTAAACCCATAAAACTTTTCAATTGAGATAAATCATTAGGCCGTGGTGCTTCAACGATAGTATTAATTTTTTTTTCATCCGTATGTAAACCGAATTTATTTATTGTATAACCTAAGTAAGTCACACTATCTTGAAAAAATTGACATTTCGAAAAATTTATTCGTAATACGTTTTCCTGTAACCTTTGAAGCACCGCCCGTAGATTTTTTAAATGGGTACATCTGTCGTTTCCCGTAACGCAAATGTCATCGGCGAACACAGCCGTTGATGAAGTTTTTGTAAATTTTCTGGTATACATTTAATGCCGAAAGGAACCCGCCTATACATAAAAGTGCCGATGTGCGTCGTGATCGCCGTCATCGGTTGGGAGTCCTCATGAAGCAAACATTGTTAAAAATTGTTCGATAAATCTAATTTTTCTTAATTCCTAAAACGACACTTTCTCTCCGAATGCCCTGCCCTTCCGCAACGCGCGCACTCTCGCTGCCGCGTCGCCCCGGCCGGCGCCTGCGCACGCGCCGTGCGCGTGTAGCCTTCTATCCGGTGCAAACCGTCGTCGTTCGCGAGCCCGGATTGGCCCGATGTGCTCGGGGCACACGCCGTCGCAGCATGCCGCTCTGCCGCCTCCAAAGCCAACTCTACAGCCCTCTTGTAGTCAACATTCCGCTCCGCGAAAATTCTAGATCTCATGTCCTCATTAACGACACAAATTGGTCCCTTAAATTGACGTCCAAGCCATGAGCAAAGTTGCATTTCTTAGCAAGATGTTTTAATGCTTGCAAGTACTCCCCCCTCACAGTCTCACCTCGAAGCTGAACTCTTTGCCTGAAAACGTGTCTATGAGCAATTTCTGATCTATCCGGTTCCAAATGCTCCTTAACTAACTGGACTAAATCTTCATACGCATATACATATAATCACACATTAATTCATAGCATTCTGCGCCAACCACCGTCACCAACGTGGCCAGTTTTAATGTAACTTTAATCCCAGCTAATAAACTGATTAACCCGGCGCAAATTTGTGTGTAATCCCGTTTCCCCCTCGTGGGGCATGGGGCAACACATTTGTGTCCGTTTCACTGTCCGTTCTTTTAACAAGCAAGTGGTTGATCAGACTTCTGTAGCCTGCCTGACAGAAACGATTTTTCTGTTCCCTGGGGTTCGAACTCAGGACCCACCTCTCGCGCTTAACGCTGCTAGGCAGTACGTTTAACCATTTGGCTACAGTGGCGATCCCATTTAGTATTAGAATAATTGTAAGAGCCAACTGATTCATCATACACAGGGATACACCGAGTGTAAAATAGTTGTAATCTTTTTATAATAATCTTATTAATCAGTAACCGAGTTTTTTTGCTGACCGACACGACCTATTTTCATGTAATAGGAAAATTTTGTCCTTTGCAATTGTGTCCTGTAATTTTGACATGTTCCGGTTAGTACGACATAATGCTATCGACCTCTTGGAATATACGGATTCTACTGCAATACTTTATTTTGACTCACCTTGTGAAGCGCGTGCTAGCAGCGAAGTCCGCCCGCCTCGTATCTTCACTGTGGTGCTCTTGTGGTCGCAGACTTGGAACTCGGAGCCGAAGTGACGTGGAGACCGGCTGAAGTACACGCTCTCGGCTTGTGGCAAAAGAGAAATAGTTATGAAAAAGGATAAAGTCCATTTCAGGCTAATTAGACTATAGGCTTAAACTGATTCTTAAAAACTTTGTGAGTAACGGCATAACAAGACTGCAAATTTACTCCACCCTCACCTGGATTCAGTCTACTGCGGCATTGCCTTATCCACCTTCGAAGACTTGGCGGTCGCGGCTTTTGTAAGATTCTGAAAAAGGGTTTAACATTTTGTTACACGATAGTTAAATATGGTGAATAAAATATATAGCGTTTTAAACAGTTAAAGTGTTTTATTTAAATGGTGAATGTTTGGTGAACAACTATTTACTACATATTTAATAAACATCTGGGGCCTCTGTATCAGGGTCCCTATTAAATGGCAGAAAGGCAGACTCACGATGGGAGAAGTGAAACTTGATTAAGTAAAAAGTGAGTGTATTACCTCTATATGGAGAAAACAGTTGTCCCTCATTTGCAGCAGCGGTTGCTGCACACCAAGCAATGCCGCTTCGCACTTTTCTACCAGAACCATCACTTCTTATTCTTAGCCCTAAATGAGTAAAAAGTATAAATAAACTTTTGAAAAATTCAGTCACAAGACAATGAACCCATAATCTATTGATTATTACTAATGTAACAGTACATAAGTAATAAAAATACTGCTAAGTACCCTGCAAGTATGGTCCTAAGTTGAACTGCTCCGGCATGATCATCAATAAGCTAAGAACAACATGTATATTTAATTGTTTAGTTTAAATATGCATATGAAACATACAAATAAGTTAATAAATCAAAATAAAATGCAGGTATTTAAATGATAAATCAATAATGAAGGCAGGACTTGATCAGGTTTTAATTATTCTAAATTCCCTATACAAGTTTATTCAAAGTTGAAGTAACATTCCCTGAGAGTGTCGAGGCTTCTAAGAAAAATATGTTGTAATCAAAGAGTTGAAGCTGACAATAATATTTATGACCTAGCAAATTGATATTTGATAAATCAACAACCTTCACTTGGAAAAGCTGGGCTAGTTATATGTACTGATTACCCAGCATTCTTTATCATCCCTGTTAGAAAATTATATGAAGATGCTCCTATTAGAAAATTTGTAAGGAGACTCTTAATAGAAATGCAAGTGAGGAGACTACTATTACGGACTGAAACAAATCTAAGTAGAGGGCACTATGAAATACTGACCGAGTATACTTCTATCATGCAAAAACAATAAAAGATTCCCAAGCATAGTAGTACCCAGAAGACGCATCTGCCACCCTGGATTTGACACCCTCCCAATCTTTACAGCTACACAAAGTAAACAAAAGATCCATCATCTAACAATTCTATTACTATCTTCATCCCTGGCTATGTTTATGATTCGACCTACGTTACATCTGGGTAGATAGTAAGTGTTCTGCATAAAAACTGTTGTTGTAGCTTTGATAAAACTTGACATCGCCGAATCGTGAAATAACCGAGGTATAGTCAACAGTAGTATATAGGGAGAAGTTTTAATTCATTTTTTAGTTATATTACCAATATGAAGGTGAAACTTATATTAGCTGAGGCTATGCCAAAATTATAAAGGTTTATTTAACCAACAGTTATACATTCCCGATAGCGTCCTTTTTTTTACGGAGATGAAATATGGCGTTACATAGCATTTCTAGACTATAATACCGACTATGTCATAAATACAAAACGTGTAAAGCTACTCTAATGAGACTACTTCACATGAAATAATAAAAAATGCACTTACATGACAATGGGCGCCGGAGAAACCACGTGCCTTTGAAGTTGCTGAATATAGCTGTTCTTATAAAAACCGAATAATATTCCATAATTAATGCGTACACGTGATTCTTAAAATGCGTTTTGCAACACAAATCAAGCAAAATTACAAAAATTTGCAATATATAATGTTAAAACGATGTTCGAGCGCCAAGCACAGGATCGGAAAAGAAATATGCAAGATGGCTTCTTACAGACGTTAGAAACTTAGAACAAAGCAACGAAACCGCCTTTTCAGGCTTGCCAACAGTAAAATTTGTAATAATGTGACCATATTATTTTTATTAATTCGCTAGTTTAGTAGATTTCGATAACTATAAATATATTATTGAAAAATTTAAATCAAACTTGTTAAAATTTGTTATTGAAAAAAAAATATGCAAAATAATAAATAATGAGCCACGATGTTTATTTAATGATTTATTAAATTATTAAAATCGTTACAAACAATTAATATTCCAAAATAAATGGAAAACTTTCTTGCCAACATGCTGCAAATTACCATTTGGTAACAATGCGACGGTAATGAAATTTAAAATCTGCTAATTTAGTAGAAATCGAGGCTAACAAAAAAAATATTGTAAAGAATAATTATACATATGTTACATAAAAATTTATTATTTAAAAATAAAAATGCACAGTAATAAATAATAAGCCACATTTTTCATTTATTGGTTTATTAATTTATAAAATCTTAAAGAACTTAAACTTTTATCTAAAACAGATAAAGTTTATTGAATGTAGATTATAACATTCGACGGAAACATTAACTAATAATTTTACAATACTATAAAAATATGTAGGTAGAAAATAACAACTACATACAATTAAAATAATAAACTCTGAGATATTCCTTCTAAATACTGTCTATAGTTTACGCGAGTAGTACACATTTAAATAAAACACTTTTACGGTTTAAAACGCGATATATTAGTTAAACTTATTGATATTAATACCGTGGTCGTGACCCGTGACCACGGCTGCTGCAAAACATCTGAAACGTCGGGCCGAAGTTAAAAATCATTTCCAAATAAGTTTAACTAATATATCGCGTTTTAAACCGTTAAAGTGTTTTATTTAAATGTGTACTACTCGCGTAAACTATAGACAGTATTTAGTTCATAAAGTTAGCCAAGAACCGCCTGCAGATGAGACGTCCATGTCCAACTTCTTAAGAATGTCCTCTCCGACTTAGGGATACGGCTGAGAGAATAAGAACCAACCCTTGTTAGTATAAGAATTTAAAAATTATTTCCAGGGTTTATTGGTGAGCAACCGGCTATACCGCGCCAGGGCCTGAATAGAGATCTTGGATTTATTTTTTTATTCCGACTAGTGTCACCGATTAAAAACCTTTCTTTCTAATATATATTTTTTTATCTATAATCTATTCGGTTTTAAGTACAATAAATTATTCATTGAAATTTCGTGGCACATGCTAAATCCTGTTTATTCACACATTTAAAGACAGTACGCAAACAATAAGCTACATGGATGGTGATAATATCTAGAATACCTGCCGTCGTTAATATATTGATCGTCTCTGTATGTCAATGGTTAAACACAGTCAGTTGCGGTCAGCACGGTAGATTACCACGACACGACAGCTTATTTGGTTAGCGCAACAGCATGCAACGCTGTGGAGGCCGGTTCATGTCCTGCTAGTGTCGTGCTTTTTTTTAAATTTATTATGGACTAACTGAGCCAGCGACTTCGTCCGCGAGAATCTTTATTTTGGGCATCCAAATTCGTTTTTACAAACCCCTTCACCTTTATAAACTTAAGCGAAAATGATTTTTAACTTCGGCCACGACGTTTCGGATCGCGTCCCTTCACCGTGGCGTTTACTTAGTGTTTAAATGTGTACTACTCGCGTAAACTATAGACAGTTTTTTTTTTTTGGGCGTCCCTTCCCGTCGTTCTTCTATCTTAATTTTAAAAGACAGGCATATAGCGTCGCGGACTTTTTTAAAGCTCATTTAAAGAGGAATCATTCTTTTCTACAATTTTTTTAGGTAGGTATCTCGAACTGAAATTGAAATATTCAATGTAGTTCGCGCCCACTGCGTAAGGAGCCCACTGCCCCTCTATCGTCGAATTAGAAACCCGATGCGCGGCGTGGCGACCGCCGCCGCCATGTATTTTTATTTTAATTTCATGATATCTTTTGAGTGAAATGTCCGATTTCAATAATTAAAAAAGTAATCATCAGGTATTGAAACAGTCTTAAATATTAAATTATTTATTCGGATAAAAATTTATAAATGATACGGATAATGATTTTGATCGGCATTTCTATCAATTTGTTAAATGTAAAAAAGTAGTTATAGCGACGTAACTACAATAGTTAGACATATGCTCTCGTCATGTTTTTTGTAGATATTGATATATTCTATAATATTGTTGAACATTTTTTTGTCCTATCATTAATACTTTTCGCAGCGTATGCGAAGAAAGACATTTTACGGCTAATTTTTTACGCCTTCCGTTGCTTTTATTAAGAATTTCTATAGATTTCTATAATAATCGAGTATTAAATCCTATGTTACTCAGTGATGATGCAGCATTTTAATAATACTTTTTTCATTAGAAATAATGAAAAAAGAATTATTAAAATCGGTCCAGTACTTTTTGAGTTTATCCATTAAATACAAAAATACAAATCTTTCCTCTTTACACTTTACTATAGATTATTAGTTAAAACGATATGAGTAACATGTACAACGCAGAAGCGTTTGTTTTTTCTTTAATTCCTTATATCCATTGAATGTAATATAGCTTAATTGGACAAAGATACAGCGAGAAATGTGAAAAAAAATTGGGAAAATTATTCATCATTATGGGTTTCCGAGGCGTACTGAGCAAAAACGGTTCTTTAACGGTAACTTCGAACTTTTCAGTAAAGCGGCGTAAGCGAGCTCAGCTAGTAAGATAGGTGTGCGATGAAAGGACCATGCTGTTTTGAAGACTAACTATGAAGAAGTAGTTATTGTCTAGCTAACCCCTTGTATAGTTTATAATGAATTTGGTTATAATACAGCCGCTAGATGGCGTTGTTTGGTTCTTTTGTCGTTTTGCATCGCGGTGATGAAGTGTTTGTTGGAAAGTGTATATAGTCAAGATTTATTTTGGTAAAGTATCCCTCCGCCGAGCATTCGGACTCGCCTATGTCTGAATGCAACTTTTCATCGTCTGATTTGGACGATTCCTTTAAAACCGTCACCGGTAAGCGCAAGAAGAAGCGCTCCGCCCCTCAGGCCCATCAGGCCTCTCCGCCCGCGAAGCGCATTCCAACGCCCGTCGCGCCCTCTTCCGGCCCCATGCCACTTATGTCGCTCGTTATCGAGCCCCCGTCCCCTTCGGTGGAGCCTCCGACTCCATCCGTTGCGTCCCAGCGGGGATCAAAGCCCCCGCCCCCCGTCATTATCCACGATAAGGCCGTGTGGACTTCGGTCTCCGGCCAGATGGCTCAGAGAAAAATAACTTTTACGCAGGCCCGCAATAGCAATAGCAGGACTTAATCGGACAGGGCCTCCGCGTAGAGGAGGTCCACCGCCTTTACAATAGGCATACTAAGGCCTTTATACCCGTTGGTATTAGTCATCTTAGACCCCTCTCCCGCCTCTCGGGAGATTTTCAACCTTAAACAGTGTTGTTCCCTCTCCGGACTCACTGTCGAGACCCCCAAATCCGCGTAGAGGGCGCCCTCTCCACTCCGAAATCAGTCCGGTTAGTATTCGTGGCTCCATAGGAACACAATACGTAATAATCAATCCAAAAAAAAAAAAAATTGGTAAAGTACGGTTCCGAGCAGTGGTGCGTCACGTAACTTTTAATTTATTCGTCATGGCTAGTACTTGTAGGTACAAACCGACATTAGTTAGCTTTAACGCTAACGGAAATACCAAACAGACTGACCTTGTTAGGGACTTCGTCACTAGATACCAGGTCGATATACTTGCGGTGCAGGAATCTTTCCTATTAAGCCGTCAATACGCGATCCAAAGATCGCTAATTTCAATATTATTAGAAACGACCGCACATAACAACGCTATGGCGGTACGTTAATTTACTATAAAAGGTCACTGCACTGCATGCCTATCGAACCTCCTCCGCTCACGAACATGGAGGCCTCCATCTGTCGTATCGCGATGACAGGACAGCAGTCTTAATTATTGCGTCGGTTTACCTCTCCCAAATAAAACCTCTCAAGCATCTCAGAGCCCTTTTGCCTTAGGGAACTCGGTCATTCTGGCCGGGGACCTCAACACAAACACTAACTGAATAGCTCTCGGAACAACCCAAGGTATCATATTAGACAGACTGACAAACACGTTAGGCTTTACTGTAGTCGCGCCCATCGTAGCAGTGCTACGAGACGTAACGCTACAGCTACAGCTAGTAGAAACAATGCGCGAACGAAGCGTTAGGCGCGATCTCGGCCGTTACTGACCATATTCAATCTAAGATTGAATACTCCTCCAGGCAGCGCGTCGTCGGTCCCATCGACGATTTGCGTTGCTCCCGGAGGTGCGTAGGTTGATAACGGCTAAGAACCGTGCGACCCGCGCGTACGATAGATATCCCACAGAGGTTAACCGACGCAATCTCCGCGTACTACAGAGATGTGTTAGAGATAGTATACGAGAGCTCAGAAACGACAGATGGCATCGACATCTCGCCGAGCTCACGCCCTCTCATGTTGCGTACTGGCCCCTCGCGAGAGCCCTCAAATCAGAGACAGACCAGTCTTCCAGTTTTATTAGAAATTTACTGGACACAAGAAAAAGGGTGTTTGCATGCTCTTAAAAATTTAGGAATCTTGGGGTGTAATTATTATATTTTTAATCTCTCAAAAGTTTGATTCAGAAACACGTAAACTATGGGAACATAAAAAAAACTGAATTTTCAAATGATTTACCTACAATGAAATTACAACCGATTTCTTCTGTTAGAAAAACGCTTAACGAGGAATCCTAAGTTAAGAATTGAGTATTCTAAAGTTATCAACGAATACCAATACAAGCATTTTCGACATCAATTCATACATCGTATCAAATAGCTGATCCTAATTTTTACACACCGAACAAAATAGACTATTGTTGCTGAAGTATATAGTCAAATTATTATGGAAGGGTTTAATCAAGGTTTTACCGGGATATCGAATAGCTCAACATACTAAATTCGGTTGGATTCTCTCTGGTAAGATAAAGTAATATAAAATAGATAGAAATGAAGTTAATAATAATTCAACGGTTAATCTACATCTTTCTATTTGATGAAAATGAATTATTAAGAAGATTTGGGAATTAGAGACTGAAAAACCAAAAAAAGGAATTTAAACAGAGGAAGAAGAAAGGTGCGACAAGTTGTTTAAGGAAACAACTTCTCGTGATCAATTTGGTAGATTTATTGTAAAGCTACTATTTAAATCTGATACTCCATCATGTAAATTTGGTTCATCCAAAGTCACATTTTCTGAAAATGAAATTGCATTTTGGCTTGTTTTCCATAAGATGAAATTTTGATAGGCTTGCAAGTATCTATCGGTCGATTTTTCAGGCAAGAGGCTTAGAGTAGGCTTTGTCGCCCCGTTAAAGACTTGTGGCGGTGTCAAATTAATAAATTCATCACTACTTGACGACATTTTCAAATAAAAACAATACAGCGAAAAGAAAAAGCGCGCAGAATTATTTTTAATTGTCCTCAAATAAGCGATGCGCGCGCATCAACGTTTTTTTTTTAGGCAAAGGTACAAAAACAGCCAGTATTACTAATAAAGTAAATTAATATTTTTGTGTTTTTGTTATAGATAAATGGTTGTAATTTATTGTCAGAATTAATTAAATTAAAGAATTAAATGTTTGTTTGTTATATTTTATTTCCCAAAGTTAATTTTATTCATAAAATATTGACCACTTTTAGACGGAGTATCTTAAAACTTTATTTAAAAAAAACACGTGCCTTTTACATTACATTATCGCACAAGTACGTAATGAGATACATTACGATATTGAAATTGGTGTAATTACAACCACTTTACGAGCAAATATGTTATAAAACACTATAACGGTTTAAAACGCGGTATATTAGACACACGGTGACCACGCCTGCTGCAAAGCATCCGAAACGTCGGCCGAAGTTAAATATCATTTTCAAATAAGTTTAACTAATATATATCGCGTTTTAAACGGTTAAAGTGTTTTATTTAAATGTGTACTACTCGCGTAAACTATAGACAGTATATAACCAAATCTCTTAACTGTCACAGATAATGGCATTCTACTGTTTCTTAGATATTTTCTAACGATTCAAATAACACGATCAATGGTGCGGAAACCCACTGTCAACCCCAAGCTGGTTCCAGGGCCTAGGTGGACCGCTAATTGAACATATGGATTTTATTTATTTACATTATTTTCGTGTTGGTTAGATAATTTATAGAGACAGGCTATAAAACATCGCGTTGTGACTAATAGGAGCGAAGAAACAGCGTGAAATACAGGGTTTTCGATGTGTACGCTGAAAAAAACGGTTCAAGCTACAAAAGAATAATTTCCCTTGTAATATTCTAAAATAAAGTTCGCGACGTTACATGTCTATCTTATAAGATTTACTTGCAAGAACGACGGGACGCGATAGTCGCTGTCACAGTTAGTAATATATATTTTGAAGTGCAGCAGATCTATTGTTCTCTAAATTAAATTAAAGGTCTTGCCTTGAGCACGACTGTGTGTCTGACCCCTCCTGGCGCCAAACCTGGACTCGCCCTTGCCTTCTGCCCTTAATTTTATTTTTGGCCTCAATTTTAATTTATCGTGAAAGTAGCATTTATTACACATGTGATTTAAAGTCGAAAATTATCCTTTTTTATTGTGTGAGATTGTTTCAAAATTTATTATATTTTCTTTTTACGAAAAAATCACTTTATGTCATATAATTATGTACTTAAATCCACTATACTTATACTATACAGCTTACTTTGTTTGAACAGGCTAATTTGAGCGACTACTGGTGTGAATAAAGATATTCTGTGTGTTTGGTAGGACTATTTATCGAGGAGGGGTTTAGGCTATAAGTCTGAGATCGATAGGAGCGAAGAAAGGTCGTATTATTTATCGTCTTCCATTACGTGCGCTGCAAAAACGGTTGAAGCTACCAAAAATATATTAAAATCGATTATGAATTGAAAAAAAATACGACACGAATAAGACTTGAACCGATATCCATAGATAGCGTTCCATGTTCCATGCAGTTGCTCTAACTACTTGCGTTTGCACTTTGCAAATGAGATATCGAGCCATCATGTGCACTATATACTAATCTATAAAGCTGAAGAGTTTGTTTGTTTGAACGCGCTAATCTCAGGAAGTACGGGTTCGAATTGAAAAATTATTTTTGTGTTGGTTAGAGCATTTATCGAGGAAGGTTGTAGGCTATAACACATAGCGATGTGACTAATAGGAGCGAAGATACAGCGAGAAATGTGAACAAAACGGGGGAAATTTTTCATATCTGTAGGTTTCAGATGCGTACGCTGCGAAAACGGTTCAAGATACCTACAAATTGTGTATAAAAAAATGATTCCCCTTTAAATGATCTGCAAAAAAAGTCCGCAACGCTATATGTCTATTTTTTAAGATTAACTTGCAAGAACGACCCTAACGACGGGACGCGTACGACGGGATACCAATATTGTAGGTAACAGCATCTACACTAATAGTATAAAGAGGAAAGATTTTTATTTTTGTATGTAATGGATAAAGTCAAAAAGTACTGGACCGATTTTAATAATTCTTTTTTCATTAGACAGCTAGATTATCATTGAGTAAAATAGACTATAATTAATACTAGATTAATAAAACTTAGAAATTTCTGTAAAAAGCAACGGGAAGTGTAAAAAATTTTGCCATAAAATGTCTTTCATCGCATACGCTGCGAAGAGTATTAATGATAGGACAAAAAATGTTCGGCAATATTATAGAATATTTCAATATCTACAAAAAACATCCAGACCATATGTCTAACTATGGTAGTTACGTCACTATAACTACTTTTTTTACATTTAACAAATTGATAGAAATGCCGAACAAAAGCAGACCGTGTTATCCATAGCATGTATAAATCTTTTTTTAAATAAATCTATACTAATATTATAAATGAGAAAGTAACTCTCTCTGTCTGCCTGTCCGGCTTTAACTCCGAAACTGCTGAACTGATTTAAATGAAATTTGGTACACAGATATTTTACTTTTCAATGCCTAAAAAGGGTTGATAGGGGTTGAGAAAGGGGATGAAACTTTGTATGGAAATTCGTGGTTTTTGAAGCTAGAACAATGAAACTTTCTTCTTTGGCTTTTTGGGAATAAAGTGGGAGTGGGAGTGAGTGTAGGAAAGAGAGTGTTGCGGCAAAGTAGCTCTTACAACATAGATTAGCTGCCTTAAATGCGCCCTTACATAAATTAATAAACAGCCGGAATATTTAAAAAATCTACCCCAAGTCACTATTCCACGCGGACGAAGTCGCCGGCACAGCTATTATATAACATTATACTGTCAATCTTCCTAAAAACTGACGTCGTACGGAGTATTCTTTTATATTGTTTTCATTTACCAGTAGTTTGTAACCTTTTATTTACATAACCTAATATTTAGGTACATAATATTAATTACTTTTTGGTACAAATTCAGATATTTTTCTAATTGCATTGTAATTTTTTTAATGAAATAGTGGTAGTGTTGTAACATACTTGGTCGAGGAGGTCAAACTAGAAAAACTGCATTGGCATGATTTGATCCAGCATTTATTGTAAAAATAAATCCATTCATTCATTTTAGTTTCCATTAAATTCTATTAAAATTATCTATTCAGAGGTCGCCTGGTGGCCATCGTTCTTCGATCCGACGACCACCAGGCAGCCTCGCTCGGTGTCCACGATTACGGGCACGCGCAACCGCAAGTCAGACTTTTGAGGGGAAGCCGGCGCGGGAGTGGGAAGGTTTGCAAGCGAGTACACAGACGATATAGTGGGGAGGGTGACGGGGGGGGCCTTATTCGTAGCGCCAAACACGAGATGGCCCATCGTGCCGCTCGTCAGGGAGTAGAGGTAGAGCTTGATGCCGGAGGCTTTTAGCCGGTGAAAGGTATCCATGTCCTGGACGAGGCCGTATACGACGGCGACGACGGGCGGGTCGTCGCTCAACATCTTGTAGATCAGGGGCCCGCCTTCCTGGTCGGGCTTCTCTCGCGCGAACGATTTCACTCGAAGAGGACCTTCTTGGGGTACCAACGGCGAGTCGTCCTTGTCATCGTCGAGTTGGATACGAACGAGACGCGAACGCCCGGCGGAATACTGCAGACTCCAGTAAGTGGGCGTCCGCATCGAGAGACGTTCGCCCGTAAGCACGCAGAACTGTCGTGACACTATCATCAGAGGGCGAGTAAGGTCGCAGCGCACGAGTGCCGCAGACCCATGTTCCGCCGTCTGCAGAAACTCCCCCACTCGGATGTGGCGGTCCGAAGGCAGCCTGAAAAATTGAGGCGCTTCTCCGTCCCTTTGGATCTGCAATTCCTCGAGAAGAGCGAAGCTGAATTGGGGCAGGTGCCCGATGTTATCATTTCTGCTGTCGGCCGCTGTGTTCGCCTTGAGCCAAGGCGGCGTCTTCTCCCCCGCCATCGACGTGACGGCGGCGACGCGACACAAGGGTGTAGGGGCGATCGTCTCAGTTTGCGTACTCATCTCATCGATGATGCTCTGCACGGTCTTAGTCGGACCGAATCTACCGATATCCTTACTCCGGGACTGCTCTCGCTCGCGCCTCAGCAGCTCCACCTCCGCTTTGAGGCGCCGCTCCCAGTCTGTGCGGAGCCGTTTAGGTTCGGTCGGTTCCGCCTCCTCTGAATCCGAAAGGACGATGCATGTCTGTTCGGCGAGCGGCTGCGGCGCCGGCGGAGGCTCAGCGACGATGGAGACCGTAACGGGCGGTCTGGCCGGAAGCAGGTTAGGCAACTTGAAATACGGAAGAGTAGCGCTTTTCTGTCGCTCCCACTCCTCGTACTCATCGAGCGGCGGATTGGCGGGATCGTCTTTCTTCTTCCTTTTCCTTATGGGGTCAGACGGGTATTTTTTCTGTGCGTACTTAGCCATTATTTTCAGTAAATCATCTCGGATATACTCATAATTGTCTGTTTCGCCGGAGGATGGGATGGGCGAAAGCGGATAGGGAGTCGGCGTCGGGAGCGACGACATGGGCGACGGCGCTGAGGGCGTGAGGGGCGACGTCGCTGAGGGCGTCGGGGGCGACGGCGCTGAGAGCGTCTGGGGCGACGTTTTAGGCGGCAGTATCGCCGGCCTTTGGACGTGCACCGAGCAAGGGCGACACAGAGAGAGCAGCGCGTGGTTCCGCACCGACCAGGATGCATCGCGCGAAGTCAATACGCTGCCGTACTTCCGTTTGGCTGCGCGAGTCCATGCCGCGCTATGCTCGAACGGGATCAAGGACACGCGGGCCTCCATTTCCAGCTTCCTGCCTGTAATATGACACGAAAGCGTGAAATGATAGGACAAATCTCCACCTCTGTTTCTGTCAATAATAATTCTCACCGAGTGATTCCTTTACGCCCGTTTTGCACTCGTCGCTGGCTTCTCCTTCCACCGGCTTGGGGTCACAGTCGAGCATTATCTTCACCTCCGCTTTGGTGGGGTCTATGGCTAGCAGTCGATTCATAGTAGTCTCCTCGCTTACAGGGTTGTGTACCTCTAGCGCTGACGAAAAAATTTTTTAGCTTTATTTAGTATTTTTCAAGTGTTTGGAACTGCCCGGGAGCACCGTAGATGTTATTCTGTTCTGATACCTCATGCGGTTTGGACTCCTGCCGTATTAGCACTACTTCAGTGGAGTCTGATAACAGCGATTTTTTTTAATACTGTCTATAGTTTACGCGAGTAGTACACATTTAAATAAAACACTTTATCGGTTTAAAACGCGATATATTAGTAGATATGCAAAGCATTCGAAACGGCGGGCCGAAGTAAAAAATATTTTTTAAATAAGTGTAACTAATATATCGCGTTTTAAACCGTTAAAGTTTTTTATTTAGAGATTTTTTTGACGATTTATTTACTCACCAATGTTATCCAGGTGGTCGGGCGCGTCGGCCTTTTCGTGGTCCTGAAGTTAAACGAATCATTATTTAAAAAAGATTGCATTCACTGACTTAATAATGATCGGCTTCCGTTTAAAGAACGGATAAATCTGAATCCTTAAAACCTCTTTTTTGGAAATATATAAGGGACATTGACACTCACGAGAGAATTCAAATCGAAGACCAACCCTCGACGGACAAGTTGCAGCCAGGGCGGGGGCGGCGCGTGCGATGCCAAGGGAAGACGCTTCGCGAGCTCGCCGAGGACCAGGACGGAGTCTACTCCCACGTATGTGGCGATGCGCATCTCATGCCAGCGCCGCTGTAAGACTACGCTCGACGCCGCGGGCTCGAGCTCGCGATGAGCGAGATACACGGCGGTCCAAACCGAGCGTACCCATTCAGCGTACGCCGTGATGTCGCTCGACGCCCCCGTCAATCGTCCCTTAGAAGACGCGAACACGACGTCATCGGCAAAGAAAGGCAGCGGGAGTTGGTCCAGCGTGTCGGTCACGAGGCGCAAGAGACGCCGCAGCGAATGCTCCGAGCGAACGAGCTGCGATCCGCGAAACGCGAGCGAGACATGCGGCTCGTACAGCAGCAGCAGGTCGGCGACTCGCCGCTCGAAAGGCGCGAGACGAATCTCGTCCGCGCTCAGCTTGCGCATCACCCCTCGGCACATATTCCGCCACATACGAAGCAGCGCGGTGCGATCGCCGACGCTCACTTGCGCGAACGGGATCACAGCAGCCACGCTCCTAATGCGCCGCACTTCGTCGCAGTCACCCCGTTTCCCATCCTCATCCTCTTCCGGTTGCGAGAGACGGTTCTCTAGCGACTTGACGGCGGACGTCGCGAGGCGCGCCGCAAAGTCTTCCAGCTTGGGCCGCGACAGCGTCGGCGGCGGCTCTCTGTCGCACGGGCGCCCCATCTGTCCGATAACAAAACGTTAAGCGAGAACCGGACACGGCCGAGATCAACCGATCACCGACAACTCACCGCTCGGACGATCTCGACGATGTCAAGCTCTTCCAGCACGCGTCGCACGGCGGGAGAGACGCGGTGCATGATCTCGCTCACCGGGACGCGCCGACGGCGACTCTTGTGCACCAGCAACCGCCCCTGCGACATACAAACGGTGAGTCGGAGCCTGAGCCGGGGGAGCGACGTTTTCACGACAGTGGAGACTTACGAGTCGCAGCAAGCGGCTGATGAAGACGTAGACGCGGTTCCTCATCGTTAGAAAGTTCGGGGGCAGGCCGAGCGCTGCGGCCAGTTGGTTAAGCGCCGGCCTGTGGGTATGCTGCGTGGAAAATATATTTTTTATTCATTTAATTAAATAATTTGTAAAAAAACATAATAGCACAACAAGCATTTAATATTTTTAACATGTTATAGCATATGATGCAGTATAATATAAAGTAAAATCAAAAATAAATTGATTTTTTTTTTTGATTCTGGGAGGACTCCTGTCTGCCCACCCTAATATAACTGTATAGGCTAACTTGTAAAACTGTATATTGAGTAGATCATGAAAGTGAGAGGGGGGGAGAGAACATTTATATTAGTATGTAAATGTATGGTTGTATGTATGTATATGTACAAATGATTGATTTTGTTATACATTTTAATTTCTATTATAAAATAAACGAGTCCTTACGCAACTTTTAAATATCAGTTAGTTTTTAAAAATTATCGATAGATAATTTTTACTTCTAAAATTATTTCTATCCTTTTGGTACAAAAGTAACAGAAATAATGATAGAAGTATATAGCTTATTGTATAAAGTATATAAAAATATCTATGAAAGAATGGTTCCTCATTAAATGATCTAAAAAAAGGGTGTGACAGTATATGTCTACAGGAAACCTATTATTCTATTAATATTATAAATGTGAAAGTTTGTATGTGTGGATGGATGTTTGTTACTCTTTCACGCAAAAACTACTGAATGAATGTCAATTAAACTTTCCAATAATATAACTTATACATCACAATAGCACATAGGCTAGCTCACACAATATCTTTATAAATTATAAAGATATTGTGTGAGCTGTCCAAGATATGACATTAAGTGTCAAGTAACTAGGAAAAAACCTACCTTTTTGCGAACCATTCTGGGGTGCGCAGCCGTAAACGTTAGTTACACATAATTATGTAATGTATGATATGATAGACATCATTTAGTTTCAATGCGCGAGACTATGTAATTAATAATACTGTATGTATTCCTAATCTAGTACACAACAAATTTTGATAAAATAACTATTTTATAACTAACAAAATAACTATTCTATCCGGACAGAATCGTTTGCATAGCTAGTGCCATTACATAAATTAAGAATCTATTATGAGAATTAATAAAGACATGAGGCAGTGTAAGAAGCTAAGCACAAGCAAAGGAACTGGCTAAGCAGCGATAAGAGTATCTTTACACAAAACTTTTTGCACCACCATTGATCCCTCTGTCCACATGAAATGAAGAAAATATATCTATATATCAAATCTTTTTTCTTTGTTTCATTTTCATTTTTTTCTCAGAATTATCCATTTATTATAAGAATTAAGTAACCTTTATAAAGTGACTGAGTTATTGAAACCCAGCTAAGCCAAATGTAACTAACGTCAAGATTTCACATTTTTTTATAACAGCAATTGTTGTATATATCTAGTAAAGCTAAGAAATATAGTTTATTAGTTGTTCATTATATTATTTTGTTCCTATAAGTGGATTACTTGGATTTTGCATAGTACTTGTCACTATTTAGAACTTCATTTTTTAACAATTAAATAAAGCACAATCTGTTTTAAACTATGCTCCCTTTTTTACATTCATGTTTTTAATTCCATTTAATGTGTAATTATTGTCCTTTTGTTTAGCTATAATTGTAAAAACCCATCTTATGTTTAATGTTTGTTCTGATATTTACTTTAAATAATTTTATTTTAAGTGACGAAATGAATTCAATGCAAAAGCAAGGCGAAGAAGCTAAAAACCCAACATTGAAGCTAGGGGCATATTGGAATAGAAAACAAATATGAGTCTAAAACTAACTGTATCGGTTATGTTACTAAACAGCAATTACTATTCAATTACATTAAGGTATAAAATCACTGATAAGGAAGATATAAAATACACAGTTAAATTTGTCTCGTTATTTACATGAAAAGAAATATACTGTCCTTACACAATTATAATGATGCCAACTATTACTTCTATGCAAGACAAGAAAAGAAAGAACCCATCACATCGCTATGTAGAACAACATTCTGATTCTAACCATTGCTTTTCCATTGATTATAGCACCAGCAAGCGAATGCTACTTTTTCACAAATCTACTAACCTTAATGTCGTTTCCAGGACTTTGAAACCACGGCAAACACAAAAGTTCATGCACCTTCAGAAATTCTTCTGCTAACTTCTCTTCTTCGGGCTGAAGAATGAAGTCTTCCATCTTCTAGCTGACATTGAGAAGACTTGCTGGGAACCTAAATAGTACTCACGTACATAGTAATTAATATACTTTTAATTTGATTGTAATAGTTTCTGATCGCCGCATTTTTAATCTTAATAAAACTTGATTATTGTTAAGTTATAAATAACAAAAATAATAACCTAATATAATATTAAAACAGTTATAGTTGACATTGACGTTTGTCAATGCTCAACTCGTGATGTCAGATTTTAGGTATAGACCTAGACTGCACACAACCCACAGAGTGTAGTTAAAGGAACCATCTATGCTTTTTTGACAATGTGTTTTTTTGTCCCATAAATATATTATCTTGCAGGTCGGCCAAGGTGTCTTTAAAATAACTAAATTCGTCTTCGAAGTATTTATAACTTATAATTAATAGAATATATTTACAATTCTAAGAGAATTAATTGTTTTCCTGTGAATATATTCTTTGACCATTATATAACATTGTATAAATTCCATACTTATTACGAATTACATACATTCCATATTAAACGATTTACTCCACTAAACTTATACTACTTTATCAGATGCATGTATGTGCTCTGACCGTAATTATGTCAATATCAAAATTACGAATTGTACTGGGCGTCGTTTTTCGAAACGTTTGTTTGAAACACATGATGGTACTATACAATTTATACATCGAAAATAAATTTTAAAAAAATTGGTTTTTTGAATTCGGAATTGAATTCAAAAAACCTTATTTTTTTTTTAAATACCGGTTCAAGTCATGCTCGAGTCGAAATTTTTTATTAATTTAATTTTTAAATTGTCCTGTATGCTATTTGTCATTCGTAAAAGCAGTTGTGAAAATTTGCGCCATCTATCGTCGGATACATTCAATTAAAAAGATAATTGTCGTATAATTTATGTAATGTGTGGTTATTGATAATATTGTGTACTGAAATCGGTTAAACGACTTTAAACTATGGTTTGTACCTTATACTATTAAAGAAGTGACTTTGGCTTTTTTCTATTTCTTTCTTTGTATGAGTTATTTTTATCTAATTGATTTTTATTTCCTGAACGCGTTTAAAAGGAATAAACGCGATTGAAGCTGGGAAACTGAAGGCTATGTGTTCTATTATAGTGTTAATTTATTGCCCTCTAAAAGCATTCGAAAAAAAACTAAGAAGAAGACAAGTATTGCCTAAACGTTTCATTAATAAAAAGTAACACCTGAATTCTCTCTCTTATCTACTTATTAAAGTTGTGCTAACATTTAGCATCTATCTAATATATAAAATTCTCGTGTCACAATTTTCGTTGCCATACTCCTCCGAAACGGCTTCACCGATTTGATGATTTTTTTTGCTTATCCAGTATCTATGAGAATCGGCCTATATATATTTTTCATCCCCCTAAATGTTAAGGGTAGTCCAACCCTAATTTTTATTATTTATTTTTTAGCCAAAATTTTTAATTTTTTTATGATACAACATACAGAATTACATAAAATTTTGAATTTTCACCCTTCTACGATCAACCCTTATTTTTTAATAGCCATTTTAGTAAAATTATTTATATGGCAAAACAACGTTTGCCAGGTCAGCTAGTACTAATATATAATTTAAAAATCGAAAATAAATTGAAAACATTTTCGACTCGGGCAGGACTTGAAACGGCATCGTCAGCTTTCCGTGCTGTTGCTCTATAATATATATATAAAGCAGAAGAGTTTTTTTGTTTGTTTGAACGCGCCAATCTCAGGAACTACCGGTTCGAATTGAAAAATTATTTTTGTGTTGGTTAGAGCACTTATCGAGAAAGGTTATAAACATCGCACTGTGACTAATAGGAGCGAAAAAACAGCGGGAAATTATTCATTGCGATGCGTGCGCTGCAAAAACGGTTCAGGATACCTTAAAAAACATGTCCAAAAGTATTATTCCTCTTTAAATGATCTAAAAAGTCCGTGATTTTTTAAGATCAACTTGCAAGAACGACGGGACGCGACCGATGTCGTGGGCAGCTTAAATTTATAAAGATGTAGATTTACAAATTTGACGTCGTTGACTCAGCTAGTGCTTCACTAAAGTACAAGAGAGGGAAATCGTTCGTAGCGCTCGACTTTATGATGCATGTTTACTTCGAGTGAACTGAATAAATAGACAGGTATACATTTTTACACACTTGTCAATTCGATAATGATTTTAGTTACACTGAGCACGGATTTGCTTTTCCTGATTTATTGTAACATTTTGAGAATACCTTGATTAAAGTAAACGTTTGAATCGTATGTAAAACAAACACGGACAGAAGAGAGTAACAATCCCAAATTCAGTTCGTGAAAGCTTTGTAAATGAATTTGATTACAAAAGGAATTACTTGCTAGTGCTCTTTCCTTTTACGCTGTCGATTTGGGAACTAGTAGTGATTCGATGATAAACTTTCCGTTGAGTCTCTTGTTTTTAGCTGTTTTGACGTTCACACCACTGTACCAAGTTATCTATCTAGTCAGAATAGCATTATCAAACGATGTCGAAGACGAGAATATGCAAAAATAATTCTTTATCTAATTTATTTACTTTTGTGACTTATATAATAATTATTTATATATCATAAATAAATCTGTTTATTTGACATCATTTGTATATTCATTAGAAGTAGTAGTAGAAATAAAGGTGATTACACCAAAAAAATAGAAAATTATTTCCGGATCCATCAGCAAGGATTCATCGTGGCGTGACCGCCGCAATTTTAGATAGGGATCACGAGTAGCGTCGGTTGGTTCGACTCTTTACTCCTGCGCCGCCCGCTCAGTTGTTACTCAATCGCCCGCTGATCGTCGAGAGTGATAATTACCTTTAAAAAGAACAAATGTGCTGTGTGCGAATTATGGTAAGTGTTAATACTTACATAACTTAACATGATCTAAAATCACTATATATATTTCGAAAAGATTGTAACGTTTTTGTTGAACTGTATTAAAAACTGTTCGTCCGCCGCCATTTTAGATTTGAATGTAACCGTTCTGTGTCGATATAAAGTCGCTTGTTAAACTATCATGTAAAGGCAAACAATTTTAGATATCCTCTCAAAAGTCAGTCAAATCATCGCCGCCATTTTAGATTGGGACCACAAGTAACGTCGGTTCGTTTGCTTATACGCTCACTTGTTGCTCAGTCGCCCGCTGGTTGTCAATAAGTAGTAATGCACTGTAACTGCAACTTTGCTGTGTGTGATTCGACGATTACGTGATCTAGAATCACTGTAAATATTCCGAAAAGTGTCCGCCGCCATCGATTAGAATTGAACCGTCCAACAACAAACTGTATACAAGTCGCGTCGGTTTGACTCGTAATCGATGAGTAAAATATTCTGTAATATCATTTAAACAAAACAAAAGTGCGTGCTGTGTGTAAATTATTGTGAGCGTAAATACTAACATAACTTAACATGATCTAAAATCACTTTAAATATTTCGAAAACAGTATTAATTAACAGTGTCCGTGTCCCGCCATCTTAGATTTGAATTCAACTATTTGGTGTCTATGACAAGTTATATTTGTTAAATTATCGTTTTAACCTGTCCATTATAAAAATCTTAAGGCCCTGCTGCTCACCGCCGCCATTTTATATCGGGATTACAAGTAGCGGTTCGTTTGTCTCCTTACACCTTTTTCCGCGTTTGTGGATGAGTCATTTTATACTGTAATGTCATTCAAACAAAACAAAAGTGCGTGTTATGCGTGAATTAACTTACTTTAACTAACTTCTGTACGAGGACACATATTTTAAGTGACATTTCTTTTACAGACGTTGTTGACGGCTCAGACTGACACTCCGTACCACAAAGGTAAGTGGATAATTCATTATATTTGATAATGTGTGTGATTGTTCGTTTTACATTACTTGACTTTTCGGTTGTTTTGTCCCATAGATATACCTAATCTCGGAGCTCGGGCGCAAGGCGTCTTTAAATTAGTAATTTTGTCCTCGAAGGATCACGTGCGGATATAGCCACATTTAAGGCGATGGATTTGAACGAAAACAAATTCGGCCTCCTGAGTTTAAAATTGTTGATTAATTGTAGATTTTAAATATTTTTTGAATTAACTGTTTAACCTGTAAATACATACATTATTGTGTATTCGTAGTGGAATAGAGTGAAATATTTATGCCCGTATTTCGCAGTTCTTATTTAACATCTTACTTTTGTTTGTCGTTCGTGATACTATATTTGTTCTATATTACTTCTTACTGTAAATTAGATGTAAAATGCATTAAACACTCGTATGTAACTCAGCAACAACAATTATCTAAAAACTAGGTAATCGTGTGTGCACCGTGACTCGGTAACGATTACTTTCCGGTATTCTATTCGTTACTTGCGTCTTAGTATTAGTTATTAAAAATCTAGCGACGGAAAGATGCGATTTAGAACCTAGCTTTTATATATTTTTATTAAGAGTGTCGTTGTTGATTTTAATATTGTATATTTAATTTGTTAAATCACTTCAAACTATTCCTCGTATTTTATAGTATTCGAGAAAAAGAGTTATTTGATTGAAACATCTTTTTCAACCATGTCGTTTCTTTACTTTTTCGTATGAATTGTGTTTACCGAGTTAATTAATAAGTGAGTAAGTTATCAAAATAAATGGGATTGTGACTACGAAGCTGAAAATACGTTTACCTGAGCTATTGCAATGTCATTTTTTCTTTGTATTAATAACGAGGGAGGGTGCTGTGTGTGAATCAACCATTCCGAAACGTTACGGTTCGTGTTGAAATTTAATAAAAGCAGTGTCCGTCCGCCGCATGTTAGCCTTAACAGCCAGCAATAATAAGAATGATAATTAATTTTGTACATGACTGACAAATTAATAAATAAACGTTGTTTTGATTTCCCCCCCTAAGTGTGCCTTATAAATATTTCTATTTTACCATTTGAATCTGGAAAAAAATTTCTGAGATTTCGGGATTTCGAGATCGATGTTCTCTTCACCTAATTGCCACTAACTAAAGTT